TAACAACAGGAAACCACATTGCTACATTTTGCAGCAGGACGCATTATAAGGCCAACATCTGTGTGAAGGTTGTGCTTGCACAATCTGAAAATAAAGCATAGTGATGAATCACAATAACAATATATAATTATACATTGTGAAATATTTATTTTTAATTAAAAATAAATGAAATTTTGATTTCAAGCATGTCACAGCATGTGTAACAGTCTTAATATAACAGCAGGGAATCCATGAATATGTTTACTGTTCAGCCTACAGTGAGGACAAAACTACATAATTTGTTTGTAACTTGGAGACTGCCTGTCCAGGTTGGGTCACAGAGGGTCACAGAGACGACTGTACAGAAGAATAATACCTGGCAAAGTCAATGAAAGATTAAATGTCTCTGATCTTGAATGCTAAGCAGGGCCAGTTCTGGTTAGTATTTGGATGGGAAGCCACAAATGAATAGCAGGTGCTCTATTTCAGAGAAAGAAACTGACAAAACTATTTTTGAGTATTTCCTCTCAAAGAAAACCCTATTAAATTCATGGGGCCGCCATAAATAAAAGGAGAACACACCCAATAAAAGGAGAACACACACCCAACCATGGGCTGCGGAAAGCAATATAGGAGTACATAGAAAAAGATAGTTTTAGCCAGGCCCGTAGCCAGGATTTCGTTTCGGGGGGGGGGGGGGTAAAAAAAATTCAGGGGGGGGTTCGGGGGGGCTGAGTTTCGGGGGGGGGGTAAGTCTGAGTGAAAGAGGGTCTAGCCTAGCAAACCTTTTGTATCATTACCCCAATACCCCCATGCATATGGGATATATTGAGTATGGTGATCAGATCATGATATGAATAAACATAACAGTTTAAATAATGCACCAGTAAGGCCTTTTCGCGGACCATCATGAGAATTTCGGGGGGGGGGGGGCGGGGGCAGCCCCCCCGACCATAGGAATACATAGAAAAAGATAGCTTTAGCATTTCTGAAAATAAAATAGTTCCAATGAAAATGAGGAAAAAATATATATTTTCTGTCGTTTTGAAAGTGGTTTTTTGGAATATGTAAGCATGAGTCCCCTTTCAGGGGGAGAAGGGCAGGGTATAAATATAGGAAATAAATCTATATAAATAAAAATGTAATGTTCATTTGTGGGATTAACAGAAATCAAAAACCACTGGACACTTAACAACCCAATGTATGTCCTTCACTCAAAAAAATTGATTTTGACATTTGGGAGTTGTAGTTCCTGGGATTTATAATCAAAGAACATTCTGTAACCCCCCTCCCCCCCCCCCCCCCCGCCAACGGTGGAATGGAACCAAACTTGGCTCACAGTTCTCCCCTGACCAACAGAAAATACTGGAAGGGTTTGGTGGGCAGTGTCCTTGGGTTTTGGAGTTGTAGTTTACCTACATCCAGAGATCACTGTGGACTCAAACAATGTTGGATCTGGACCAAACTTGGCCGGACCAGGCTTCTCCTTCCTTCCTTCCTTCCTTCCTTCCTTCCTTCAATCCTTCCCCCTTTCTCTTCCCTTCCTTCCTTCCTTCCCTCCCTTCCCCTTCCTTCTCCTTTCCCCTCCCTCCTTCCTTCCCTTCCTTTCCTTCTTCCTTCCTTCTCTCCCATGTGGCAGGGAGAAGCCTACCGGGTGGGGACACCGGGCCAGGCGCCGCCTCCGCTTGTTCTCCTGGCGTGGCTGGGAGGGAAGCAGGAGGCACCTCGTGGCCACGGAGAGCACAGCAGCAGAAGATCTGCGGCCATGAGGTGCCTCCTGTTCCCCTCCCAGCCGCGGCAGGAGAACAAGTGGAGGCGGCGCCGGGTGGGCATGGCCAGGCAACGCTGGCTTCCCCACCCAGTAGGCTTCTCCCTCCAACACAGAAGGAATGAAGGAAGGAAGAAGGAAAGGAAGGGGGAAGGAAGCTGAAGGAAGGAAGGGGAAGGGTAGGGTAGGGAAGGGCGAGGGGAAAGAAGGGGAAGGGGAAGAAGGAAGGAAGGAAGGAAGGAAGGAAGGAAGGAAGGAAGGAAGGAAGGAAGGAAGGAAGAGGAAAGAGGGAGAAGCCTGGTCTGGCGCGACCCCGCCTGAAGCCGCTCCGGAGGGAGAGAGAGAAACGGCGAGGAGCTTTGCGCCAGGCCAGGCCAGGCGGGCCAGATAAATGCCCTTGGCGGGCCATATCCGGCCCGCGGGCCTTAGTTTGGGGACCCCTGTGTTAAAGTGTGAAGTATGGAACCCTACACAGACGGTCGGTCAATGCAACTTAAGTAACGTATGCGGCAGGTACTGACTTGTTCAGTAGACTCTCCTCTACAGTTCCTTTTTGCCGGGAAGCCTTAGCACCGAACGGTTGTGTTGTTAAAGTGAGAAGTATGTCCAATGTTCGGTAGTCAGATTACTAACAGGAGTGGGGTACAGGGAGCTCACAACTCCTTTGTTGCGCCAGCTCCACTGGCTACCAATTAGCTTCCGAGCACAATTCAAAGTGCTGGTGTTAACCTACAAAACCCTATATGGTTCTGGCCCAATTTACCTGTTCCCTATGAACCATCAAGGCTGCTAAGATCTTCTGGAGGGGCCCTGCTCTTGGTCCCACCACTTTTGCAATCGCATCTGGCGGGAACGAGAGGCAGAGCCTTTTCTGTGGTGGCCCCTCGGCTATGGAACTCTCTCCTGATTGAGATCAGATCTGCCACCTCCCTCCTGTCCTTCAGGAGGCTGGTGAAATCCTGGCTATGGAAGGAAACATTCCCAGAATAATGATTGAAACCTGCTACAGAACAAAGTTGTCGGCCACACATACGGACTGAGGTGGACATGATTTTATTTTGGCAGTTGACTTATTTGTGATTTTGATAGATATGTATTTTAACTTGGTATTATATGTTGTTTTTAGATTGTACTATTAGCACTGAGTCCGGTCTGAGTCCCTCTATGGAGGTTGAGAAGATCGGGATATAAAAGTTTAAAATAAATAAAAAAAAGAATTGCACATGGGCAAGGGCACAGCGGGTTAAACTGCTGAGCTGCTGAACTTGCAGACCGAAAGGTTGGCAGTTCGAATCCGGCGAACCCAAAAACATGCAAATGTGAGTTGATCAAAAAGTACCGCTTCTGTGGGAAGGTAACGGTGCTACATGCAATCATGCTGGCCACATGTCCTTGGAGGTGTCCATGGACAACGCTGGCTCTTTGGCTTAGAAATGGAGATGAGCGCCCCCCCCCCCCCCCGAGTTGGACACGATTAGACTTAATGTCAGAGGAAACCTAACCTTTCCCTTTACCTAGGGGATTATCTATCCAATATTTATAACCTAGCAAAGACCACTCTTTGACAAGTTCAATCGTATACACAATTTACTGTATGAACACACAAAAGTAAAAAGCAGTACATTGCACACTCCTGGATTGTTCAATTTCCTCTCAAAAGCCAAACAAACAAACAAAACTCAAAAACAAAAACAAAACCACCCAGTAATATCCCTTCATTTAAATTCACCTAATCCCTGTCCAAAGATGGAGAAGACAAATAAATAAGTTCTAGAATCGTGGACGAGAAGCTCTAACGTCAACTGAAAACACAAAATACTATTAGTAGTTATGATATTGCAAAGCTGATCTCTTAACCATGGCACAGGTTTTCGGGCTTTCCTAAAAAAACATGAATCTCCTGCTCCTTTCATATCCTCACCGTAACCATGGTTTATCGTGGCACCAACCGTGGTCAGATGCCACTAGGATTCATTCTTAGGCCAAATTTGTCACCTAGTTTCCTAAACTTTGGTAAAAGCTGAAGGCGAGGGAGAAATAGTTCACGCTGGTGCCAATCCTGAGCAGAAAATACATTAAATGAAGTGGATCTCTCAACTGCGGCGAAGATGGAAGCTGAGAGTACATTTGAGAACTTCGTGGTATAGACCACGAAGGGCCCTACTCATTTCACCTCTCTGCTTATGAGGATCAAAATACAGCGAGGGACCACAGAAGGAGAGAGATCCCCAAATGTATCTTGTGCATAAACTTTCCACAAATTTCAACCTAAAAAAAATTGCTAAAATATATTTAAATGGGCTCCTAGAATGACTCCGTCATCCCCATAAACTGATCGAATTTGGACTCCTGAAACCACTCTCCACGACATACATAAAGACTGGCTATCTCCTTCGATCTATCCTTTCCAGATGGCATGTATATTCCCCCTTCTAATTATGAGTCCTAATGAAGACTCCCTGGATTGGAAGCTGAAAACTCCTTCCTGAATCTTCTCTTACTTTGCGACAACTTAAATGTCTATGGAAGTTCCACTGGTCTTTCATTGGCTGTCCTTCCACATATCCACAACAAGAGCTAGACATCTTCCTTCCTGTCGATCTTTAGTAGTTTCCTCTGCTTTCAAACTGGGAAATGCGGTCCTAACTAAATAGAGCGAGGGACCATAGAAGCAGAGAGATCCCCAAATGAATCTTGTGCATAAACTTTCCACAAATTTCAACCTAAAAAAATTGCTAGAATATATTTCAATGGGCTCCTAGAATGACTCCGCCATCCCCATAAAGTGGACTCCTGAAACCACTCTCCACGACATACATAAAGACTGGCTATCTCCTCCGATCTATCCTTTCCAGATGGCACGTATATCCCCCATTCTAATTATGAGTCCTAATGAAGACTCCCTGGATTGGAAGCTGAAAACTCCTTCCTGAATCTTCTCTTACTTTGCGTCAACTGGTCTTTCATTGGGTGTCCTTCTGCATATCCACAACAAGAGCCAGACATCTTCCTTCCTGTCGATCTTTAGTTGTTTCCTCTGCTTTCAAACTGGGAAATGCGGTCCTAACTAATCTTCTTAGCTGATCTAGGCTGGGCGGTTCAAATGTTCAAAGCAGAGTCAGAAACCTGTGGAAGTACCTGTCCATCACAGCATTTTTATTTTTTAAAATACGCCAAGGCACCAGCCGGCCGCTCAGAAAAGGGGGAGCCACTCGTCCATTTCGCAAATCGAGCCGGTCTGATCATTCCTTACCTGCTTGGTTTTTCTCTTCATGTTCCTAAAAACAAGGGCAAGGATTTCTGGGAGAAGGGAGAGGAAGATGAGGCAAAAGATCGTCAGCCAGGAAGAGACCGCCGTCAGCAGCTGGGCAAAGATGTGATACATTCGTTGTTGCTTCAAAAAAGGCCTGCAGGGGAACGACACAGAAGGGAAGTCACAGCTTCAGCACCTCGGACAATTCTATTGACGGTCAAGTAAAACCTACAATGGAGTCAGTGGCCAAACAGAAATTGCTAGGGCTGGCGGTGGAGCAATGGGTTTATTTATTTATTTACTAGCTGTCCCCTGCCACGCATTGCTGTGGCCCAGTCTGGTGATCTGGAAAATAAAGTAATGAGAAAGTGTTGGTTTCTAATGTATGTAATTTCTTTATGCTTGTGGGTAAACAGTATTCCTTGTTGTTTCTTTGTCAGTGTTGATGTCGAGATTGTCTGGTTTGCCTACTCTGGAATATACAACATATCATTGTCCTTCTTTAAGGGTCCCTTTGAGATGGTTGAAAAGAAGTTCTCCGAAGCTCTAGGTGCTCTTACTGCCTATTACAGGGAAAACCAGCTGATCCCCAACCCATCTAAAACACAGACATGCGCCTTTCACCTTAAGAACAGACAAGCGTCCCGAGCTCTGAGGATTACCTGGGAAGGAATCCCACTGGAGCATTGCAGCACACCCAAATACCTGGGAGTCACTTTGGACCGTGCCCTGACCTACAAGAAGCACTGCCTGAACATCAAGCAAAAAGTGGGCGCTAGAAACAACATATACGAAAGCTGATTGGCACAACCTGGGGATCACAACCAGACACAGTGAAGACATCTGCCCTTGCGCTATGCTACTCTGCTGCTGAGTATGCATGCCCAGTGTGGAACACATCTCACCACACTAAAACATTAGATGTGGCTTTAATGAGACATGCCACATTATCACAGGGTGTCTGCGCCCTACACCACTGGGGAAACTACACTGCTTAGCCGGTATTGCACCACCTGACATCCGCCGGGAAGTAGCAGCCAATAGTGAAAGGACCAAGGCAGAGACATATCCAGCTCATCCCGTCAACGACTTAAATCAAGACATAGTTTTCTTAGATCTACACAGACACTCGCTGGAACACCCCAGCAAGCGAGAGTCCAAAAGTGGCAGGCCCAAACCCAGCACCTCAATCCATGGGTGATACCAGATGAGAGACTCCCCCCTAGGCACTCAGAAGACTGGGTGACTTGGAAGGCGCTGAACAGACTGCGCTCTGGCACCACGAGATGCAGAGCCAACCTTAAGAAATGGGGCTACAGGGTGGAATCCACGAGATGCGAGTGCGGAGAAGAACTACCACTGACCACCTGCTGCAATGCAACCTGAGCCCTGCCACATGCACAATGGAGGACCTTCTCACGGCAACACCAGAGGCACTCCAAGTGGCCAGATATTGGTCAAAGGACATTTAACCAACTACCAAGTTTGCAAAATCTGTGTGTGTTTTTTCTTTTTCTTTTTAATCTGTGTGTTTGTTTTGTTCTGTTAGAATTGTAATACAATGGTATGGTTGCTGATGACACGATAAATAAATAAGGGTCCCTTTCAAATCTATGATACCATATCTATCTATGTGTGTGAATCATATATCTATCTGTATCTATGGCTGGATGGCTCTTTGTCAGGAGGGCTCTGATTACATTTTCTTGCCCTGGTGAAGAGAGTTGGACTGGATGGCCTTAAGTATTTTCTGTTGGTCATGGGGGTTCTGTGTGAAACGTTTGCCACAATTCTGTCGTTTGTGGGATTCAGAATGCTCTTTGATTGTAGGTGAACTATAAATCTCAGTAACTACAAATCCCAAATGTCAAATTTTCGGGGGGGGGGGGGTGAAAATTCTTGGGGGTGTGTGTTGAAACCTGCCTCCTAGCTCACGCTGAAGCAAAGAGCACAGCAGGGGGCAGAGCAGCCTTCCAATAGCCTGCAGCTCCGCCCCTGTCAACCACCTCCACCAAGTCTGGCCTCCTTAATGAGAGCATTCAACACACACACACCCAACTTGGTTGCTTCACTACATCGGCTATTGCTGCAAGTAATGACAGTGTGAATAAACTGTCAATATTTGCTTGAGATAGTGCTTGCAGTTCTGGAGGGACTCTTAATTTTTTGCATCTCATAGACTTAGCATGGGGATTTGGTTAACCAGTTAAAATTCATGAGTAAACCAGTTTTTTTAAAAAAATCTGAAACATTTCGGGGGGGGGGTTGAACCCCTAAAACCCCCCCCCCCTCGCTACAGGCCTGTCAAGGTCTATTTCCCCCAAACTCCATCTATGGAATATTTGTGCCAAGTTTGGTCAAGATCCATCATTGTTTGAGTCCACAGTGCTCTCTAGATGTAGGTGAACTACAACTCCAAAACTCAAGGTCAATGCCCACCAAACCCTTCTAGTGTTTTCTGTTGCTCATTTATGGAAGTCCTGTATGCCATGTTTGGTTCAGTTCCATAATTGGTGGAGTTCAGAATGCTCTTTGATTGTAGGTGAACTATAAATCCCAGCAACTACAACTCCCAAATGACAAAATCAAAAAAATTTGAGTGAAGGACATACATTGGGTTGTTAGGTGTCCTGTGTCCAAATTTGGTGTCAATTCGTCCAGTGGTTTTTGAGTTCTGTTAATCCCACAAACGAACACTACATTTTTATTTATATAGATACTTGTATACCATCTTTCTCAGCCTATTGGAGACTCAAGGTGGATGTCAGAGGAAACTAGTTCGTTAGTAGGCTTGGGTAACCACGGAAAAATTTGGTTCTAAACTCGTTTTGTTTTTAGGGGGCCCTTGCGTTTTTTTTTTAATAATTCCGAAATTTTCCTTTTAAAAATTTCGAAATATACGAAATTTCGTAAAATTACGAATCGATTCGTTAATGGCGGACGCGATTGCGCAATATGCTAAAAAAACCTCCAAATGGGACAGGGGGAACTTCTGAAGCTTCCCTCTCCCTCTGTTGTTGACTGTTGGTGTGATAAAACAAACAACAACTATAAACTTGCACCAGACATGCGAAAATAATTACGAAATAATTACAAAACGAAATAATTACGAAATAAATTGAAAAAATTGTTTCGAATCTAATTTACTCCTCGCACTATTCCTGCATGGCTCAATATTGGATCGTAAGCTAATTTAAATACGAATTAATAACGAATTACGAAATTAACGAACGAAACCGCCCAAGCCTAGTAGTTAGTACTACTGGACTCTGGTATAGTGCTAGGTGACAAGGTGTCCCAAGGCTAGAGTGCAACACAACTATTGATTTGAATCAAAAGACTTACCAAATAATTCCTCCCCAGAAGAATGAGAAAAACACATAGAAGATCAAGGAGCCCCACATGACAAAGTGGTTCATCCACGTCCAGTACCGAGTGTCCAATGCCAGCTAGGAGGGTTGAAAAAAAAAGGCAAGGGGAGACGTAATTACAAGTTTTGAATACACCACAAAGTACAGTTCCAATTGCATATGCATAAAATAATTCATTAGAGTCAATAAAAGATCTGCTCGCCCTGTGAAATCATAGAATCAAAGAGTTGGAAGAGACCTCATGGGCCATCCAGTCCAACCCCATTCTGCCAAGAAGCAGGAATATTGCATTCAGATCACCCCTGACAGATGGCCATCCAGCCTCTGTTTAAAAGCTTCCAAAGAAGGAGCCTCCACCACACTCCGGGGCAGAGAGTTCCACTGCTGAACGGCTCTCACAGTCAGGAAGTTCTTCCTCATGTTCAGATGGAATCTCCTCTCTTGTAGTTTGAAGCCATTGTTCCGTGTCCTAGTCTCCAGGGAAGCAGAAAACAAGCTTGCTCCCGCCTCCCTGTGGCTTCCTCTCACATATTTATACATGGCTATCATATCTCCTCTCAGCCTTCTCTTCTTCAGGCTAAACATGCCCAGCTCCTTAAGCCGCTCCTCATAGGGCTTGTTCTCCAGACCTTGATCATTTTAGTCGCCCTCTGGACACATTCCAGCTTGTCAATATCTCTCTTGAATTGTGGTGCCCAGAATTGGACACAATATTCCAGGTGTGGTCTAACCAAGGCAGAATAGAGGGGTAGCATTACTTCCCTGGATCTAGACACTATGCTCCTATTGATGCAGGCCAAAATCCCATTGGCTTTTTTTGCCGCCACATCACATTGTTGGCTCATGTTTAACTTGTTGTCCACGAGGACTCCAAGATCTTTTTCACACGTACTGCTCTCAAGCCAGGCATTCTCCCCCATTCTGTATCTTTGCATTTCGTTTTTCCTGCCAAAGTGGAGTATCTTGCATTTGTCACTGTTGAACTTCATTTTGTTAGTTTTGGCCCATCTCTCTCTAATCTGTCAAGATCGTTTTGAATCCTGCTCCTGTCCTCTGGAGTATTGGCTATCCCTCCCAATTTGGTGTCGTCTGCAAACTTGATGATCCTGCCTTCTAACCCTTCATCTAAGTCATTAATAAAGATGTTGAACAGGACCGGGCCCAGGACCGAAACCCTGTGGTAAGATGAATCCAAGATGGCTTGGATTCAAAAGGGATGAGCTGGACATTCAGAGACAATTATTATTATTATTATTATTATTATTATTATTATTATTATTATTATTATTGCTACTACTACTACTATCAGTGCGAAACTGCTTTCTCTCCCCCGAGGGGACTCAGAGTGGTTTACATACCAAAAGGTAAACATTCAAAGCCGTAGTCAACAAAAACACCAGAATCAAAACAATACAAAATAGCATGAATAAACTTATAACTACAAGAAAAAGTAAAAATAAAAGGAAAATAATAATATTTGAATAAAACATAATTACACTAAAGACACTTGTGTCCGATGTGGCCAAAGAACTTCAACTTTGTCTCTAGTCTCCTTCCCTCCAGTGAGCAGTCGGGCTTTATTTCCTGGAGGATGGACTGGTTGGATCTTCTCGCAGTCCAAGGCACTCTCAGAACTTTCCTCCAGCACCACAGTTCAAAAGCATCTCTTCCTTCGCTCAGCCTTCCCTAAGGTCCAGCTCTCACATCCGTAGGTGACTATGGGGAATACTATTGCTTTGACTATGTCTAAGACCAGACTGTGATGGGTCAAGATAATGAGCTTCATCCCAGAATCCCTGGAACTGGGTGGCCACAAATCGCTCTAGAACAGTGGTTCCCAATGAAAAAATAATCTTGGTGTCTTCATTTTTAGGTCTGTTTTAGGCTATTTGGGGTGCTGATTTGGAGAATTGCATTGCATAGACCACATCAGCTTTAGATTATTAAATAGGGTTTTCTGTGGGTGAGCGGATGGTGACTACTGGACGGCATATGTTCTGTATCAGAAACTAAAGTTGATGTGGTCTATCTCAGGCGTCGGTGGTGGCTGGGAGGGCCTTCGCACAATTAAGACTCGTGCGCCAACTGAGACCGTACCTCGTGAAGACGGATCTGGCCAGGGTGGTCTACGCCTTAGTCACTTCCAGGTTGGACTACTGTAATGCACTCTATGTGGGGCTGCCCTTGAAAATGGCCCGGAAATTTCAATTGGTCCAACGGGTGGCGGTCAGGTTGTTAACTGGTGCTCCTTACAGGGAGAGGTCAACCCTCCTGTTTAAGGAGCTCCACTGGCTGCCTTTCATTTTCCGGTCCCAATTCAAGGTGCAGGTGCTTACCTACAAAGCCCTAAACGATTTGGGACCCGCCTACCTGCGTGACCGCATCTCTGTGTACGAACCCACACGATCTCTTCGTTCATCTGGAGAGGCCTTGCTGATGATCCCACCGGCATCGCAAGCGCGACTGGTGGGGACGAGGGATAGGGCCTTCTCGGTGGTGGCCCCTCGACTCTGGAACTCTCTCCCTAAGGACATCAGGCAGGCCCCGTCGCTAGCAATCTTTAGGAGGAGCTTGAAAACGTGGTTGTTCCAGTGTGCCTTTCCAGAATAAGGAACTCCTAGCATTATGTCCCAACGCACTTTATCAGAGATTCAGGATATCTGCATGCCCATCCCCCTCCAAACTCCCCACCTTGTCATGCCCAGCACTTTTTAATTTTAATTATTACATTTGGCCCGGCCATTATTTTAATTGCGTCATTGGATGTTGTTAATGTATTGCTATTCTTTGCTATTGCTTTTTTTTTTGAGTTATTGTGTTGTTGTTGTTTTATTGTTGTATTTGGGCTCGGCCTCTTGTAAGCCGCACCGAGTCCTTCGGGAGATGGTAGTGGGGTACAAATAAAGGTTTATTATTATTATTATTATTATTATTATTCTGAATCAGTACTCCAACTAACCAAACCGAATCTAAAGTTGACCAAAAACTATTTTGTAACCCTTTTGGTACTAACATGAACATGAGGAAGAACTTCCTGACTCTGAGAGCCGTTCAGCAGTGGAACTCTCTGCCCCGGAGTGTGGTGGAGGCTCCTTCATTGGAATCTTTTAAACAGAGGCTGGATGGCCATCTGTCAGGGGTGATTTAAATGCAATATTCCTGCTTCTTGGCAAGGGGTTGGACTGGATGGCCCATGAGGTCTCTTCCAACTCTTTGATTCTATGATTCTAATGTTGGAGAGTGGTCAAAAAAAGGTTGGGAACCACTGCTCTAGAACCTTGCCCAGGAAGGGGAGATTGGAAATAGGTTGATAGTTGCCAAAGATAGCTGGTTCCACTATTTTTGCTTTAGCTCTTATCTGTTATTATGGAGCACCCGGTGGCGCAGTGGGTTAAACCCCTGTGCCGGCAGGACTGAAGACCGCTAGGTCGCAAGTTCGAATCTGGGGAGAGTGCGGATGAGCTCCCTTTGTCAGCTCCAGCTCCTCATGCGGGGACATGAGAGAAGCTTCCCACAAGGATGGTGACACATCAAAACATCTGGGCATCCCCGGAGCAATGTCCTTGCAGACAGCCAATTTTCTCACACCAGAAGCGACTTGCAGTTTCTCAAGTCGCTCCTGACATGACAAAAAAAATCTGCTATTATGTGAGCCTTCGTAAAAAAATAGACTAAACTGAGACCCGAACATACAGAAATGGAAGGAGCTCTAACCTTCAGAGTGACGGTGAAGACCAAGACGGTAAAAACCATTGTCCCAAAGGTCCAGTTTCCGGCCATCTGAAAAATGCATTCAAGATTGTCAAGATTTGGGGAACGGGGATAGAAAGGAGTCGGAAAAACTCAGTTTTTTGTTGGAACAAAATATTAACACTGCAATATTTTGTTTCTTTCGCAACAAGAGCTTTATTTCCACTTACCTTTCCATTGTCCTCTATGGAAGCATCTTGCATAAGGAAGTAAGTGCCAAAGAAAAAGACGCAGCCATCGAAAAGGCCCAGGAAGGTCCAGTATATGAAAGGCTTCAACTGCAACATGGCATTGTCAGAAACATTCCTACCGAAATAGGGAAACGGTAAGAGAAGGAAGGGTTAGACATAGGCAACAAAGAGGGGAAAGGACATGTAACACCGCAGGTTGAGCATCCTTCATCCGAACTTCTAAAATGGGCTGAGGGAGTGAAACCTTTATTAGTGATGCTTCAATGTCAACACGCTTTGTGTCTTGCATAAAAAATGATTAAAACGTTGCATATCACGTTGTGTGTATAGAATCATAGAATCAAAGAGTTGGAAGAGCCCTCATGGGCCATCCAGTCCAATCCCCTGCCAAGAAGCAGGAATATTGCATTCAAAGCACCCCTGACAGATGGCCATCCAGCCTCTGTTTAAAAGCTTCCAAAGAAGGAGCCTCCACCACACTCCGGGGCAGAGAGTTCCACTGCTGAACGGCTCTCACAGTCAGGAAGTTCTTCCTCATGTTCAGGTGGAATCTCCTCTCTTGTAGTTTGAAGCCATTGTTCCGCGTCCTAGTCTCCAAGGAAGCAGAAAACAAGCTTGCTCCCTCCTCCCTGTGGCTTCCTCTCACATATTTATACATGGCTATCATATCCCCTCTCAGCCTATAAGACACATATTGCCTTTGCATGCTCTCTGAATTTCAAAAGGGCCACAATATGACCGTAAAGCACGACAATATCCAAACTAGTGTCTGTCCCCCACATTTGCGGGTTCGACTTTGGTGAAGTTGATCACTTACATATAGAGTTGGAAGAGACCTCTAGTTCAACCCCATTCTGGAAGAAGCAGGAATATTACACTCAAAGCACCCCCGACAGATGGCCTTCCAGCCTCTGTTTAAAACCCTCCAAAAAAGGAGCCTCCACCACACTCCGGGGCAGAGAGCCCTAGAAACTACTGTATATACTCAAGTATAAGCCTAGTTTTTCAGTTGTTTTCATAGGCTGAAAAAGTTCCTCTTGGCTTATACTCGGATCAAAGTTATTTAATATTTTTGTTATTATGATTTTTATTACATGTACTAGCGGTCCCCTGCCATGCGTTGCTGTGGCCCACATGGGGGTTCTGTGTGGGAGGTTTGGCCCAATTCTATCGTTGGTGGGGTTCAGAATGCTCTGTGATTGTAGGTGAACTATAAATCCCAGCAACTACAACTCCCAAATGTCAAGATTCTATTTTCCCCAAACTCCACCAGTGTTCACATTTAGGCATATTGACTATTCGTGCCAAATATGGTCCAGATCCATCATTGTTTGAGTCCACAGTGATCTCTGGATGTAGGAGAACTACAACTCCAAAACCAAAGGACACTGCCCACCAAAACCTTCCAGTATTTTCTGTTGGTCATGGGAGAACTGTGTGCCAAGTTTAGTTCAATTCCATCGTTGGTGGGGTTCAGAATGCTCTTTGATTGTAGGTGAACTATAAATCCCAGCAACTACAACTCCCACATGACAAAATCAATTTTTTTGAGTCAAGGACATACATTGGCTTGTTGGGTGTCTTGTATCCAAATTTGGTGTCAATTCGTCCAGTGGTTTTTGAGTTATGTTAATCCCACAAACGAACATTACATTTTTATTTATATAGATTTGTAGACATAAGAATGGATGGGCAATGAGGCACAAGTGCCCTCTGCTGGACACGAGTTGTACATCCTTGTGGAGATGCATTGTATATTTGAACATATATTAAAATAACTAGCTTGAGTCCCCGGTGTTGCCCAAGGTTATTTGAAAAAGTCAATTTACTAATTGCACAAAATTCATAAGGTTGTGGGTGAACTACAACTCCCATCATGCCAGGTTAACCCCCTGAAACTCCATCGTAATTACAAAAATGTGAGTCAAACATTGTCAACTGCCCTCAGTATGAGTAGGCCTCAGTGGGAGGAAGGCTTCAGTATGAGAGAAGCCTCGGTATGAGAAGGCTCCAATGATAGTTGCCCTCAGTATGAAGAGGTTTCAGTCTGAGAAAGGCCTTAGTCTGAGAGAGGCCTCAGTGTGAGGTAAACCTCAGTGTTAGTAAACCTCAGTGTGAGGTAGGCCTCAGTATGTGAGATGTTTCAGTATGAGAAGGCTCCAGTGTTAGTTGCCCTCAGTATGAAGAGGCTTCAGTCTGAGAGAAGCCTCAGTGTGAGGTAAACCTCAGTGTTAGAAAACCTCAGTGTGAGGTAGGCCTCAGTATGTGAGAAGTCTCAGTATGAGACGGCTCCAGTTTTAGTTGCCCTCAGTATGAAGAGGCTTCAGTCTGAAAGAGGCCTCAGTATGAGAGAGGCCTCAGTGACAAGTAAACCTTAGTGTGAGGTAGGCCTCAGAGATAGTAGGCCTCAATGTGTGAGAGGCCTGTGTGAGAAGGCCTGGTGTGAGAAGGCTTCAGTGAGAGAAGCCCTAGGTTGAAGACCTTGTGTGTGAAGCTCCAATGTGAAGGCTGCTGTATGTAAAAAGCTACTGTGTGAAGCTCCTGTGTAAGTTCGGTGTAAGAGGAAGCTCAGTAAGAGCATGAGAAAGAAGCCAAGCTTGGAAGCAAAGTCCCCTCTTTGTACTGTCTGCAGTTGATGGTGGTTTGTGATGGAAGGGTTAATGTTTTAGAGGGTTTGGTAATCTGTAAGTGGGAGTTCATGGGTGAAAGCAATTAGGGGTGGAGGTGTGCAGGAGATGGGTTGCAGCTGGGTGTTACTGGATTTAAGGAGCTAACCTTGAGACTGATCTTTGGGAGAAAAGTATCTATTGTATTTTGGTGGTGGATGCTGTTGGTTTTCCCCCCAGGTCTGTTGGATTTTTGGTATCCTGACCTGTCTCCTGTAATCTTGGAACCCTGGAACCTTGGACTGGCTTTTGACTACGATATAGACTCTTGATCCCTGGACTCTGTTATTGAACTCTCGGCATTTGACCACTGGACTGGACCCTTTTGACTACAGAGTTGTTTTTGCTATCAGTTTTCGTTTATTCTGTGGCTGGGTGCTATCTTTATGTTTTATGTTTTGGTCTATTAAAACAGCCAGCAAGTTAGTGCTGTTTTAATTAAACCGTTTGATAAAACTGGGAGTTTGGTTCATCTCTACCTAAATAAGGTAGAGCCCTGGCAACGTGACAAGTATAAAGAACTTTATTTGTGTTATGGAAACCTTGTTCCTGTACAGAGTTGAGGCGAGGGAGAGTGATTATTTCCACTTTTTTAAAAAAAAACTTCTTTGCTGCCTTATACTGATTCAGTTTCTTCTTTTATATTGGCAGGGACTTTCTGTGTGCTGTTAAACCTTTGTACTTTATATCGCAGGCAATGAAACACTCTTGTGTATAATGAAGTAACACAGTTTATTTATAACTTCTGGCTCCAACGCTTGTGGTTACATTTGTGTTTTGTTGCAATCTTGAGGCTTACAGTCAGTATCATTTACTTGGTTAACTTTTCTGAATAAACTATCAATGTTTCACATTCACAAACATGTTACTTGCTTCACACACTCTTGGCTGAATTATATTCTGAACTAAGGCAACACTAGCCTTCTTTATGTTCCTTAAAACTCGAGCTCTATTTAACTAACTGCTTCTCTATATCAGAAGTCTTTAACACATCTTCATAACTGCTTATTTCTATCAGGCACTCAAAAACCAACTCTCCTCTTCACACACAGATTCCTAACTGTCATTTTCAAACTCCCTCACTCTAACTGCCTCTTTCAGAACCTTGGCTCCGCCCCTTTGGAATGTTCAGCTCTGCTCTCCCCAACTGTCATTTTGGCCTAGCAGCCTTTTCAAATCCTGGGCCTACACTAATCTGCATATGACCAATCGGTTTCACATATGCAAATGAATCCTATCTCTGCTGTTGCTACCCTGTCTGTGCCTATTCTTCCCTATCTGCCATATGTAAACATAGAGCTATACACCAAAACTTTAACATAGAGTAGCAATTTCACTACAATAGTAAAACCATATTATTTTGGTCTCTGTGTGTTTTTGTTCTTTTTATCACTTTTGGCTACTGGTGCTGGGTCACGCTGCTGCTAATAAGTTACTCTGCTATATGTTTATGAGGAGGGTCTTTTGTTAATAAGCCCACTAGCCCAATATGCTTTGTGCATGCTGTTAAAAGCAGCTGGCTTTGATGTTGTTCTGCTTCCCACTTCTCCTCTACTAATAGCAGTGCTAAACAGAAAAAACTGCCAAGCCCCCTGGATCCAGGGACATGCTTCAACCAATGAATAGTCAAAGGAGTGTGTGTGTGTCATTTTTATAGAAAAATGCAATTAGATTGTTTCCCTATGCAATTATACTTGTTAGGCAAGCATATGAGCTTGCTAATCTCCTCGTGGGCTATAAATAGAGCAGAAGGAGGGGAAATGCCACAGCATTTGGCAAAGGAGGGCAGGGGCACCGCAGTGGAGTGGATCCCTTTCCACCTGCCTCCCCTCTGTTGCACACTCAAATTCCCCGTGATGCAAAGAAGGATGTTTATACCACACAGAGAGCCTGATAATGGACAAGGGCAGCTGATGGGCTGGACACGGGCCAGGAGGAAGGTTTTCATCGGCTGGAATGGGTTTGCAGGGTACTGAGCAAACCCAGGATCTGGCATCGGTCACTGCACAGCTCAAGAAGGGCTACCACTTGGGCTTTACACAGATCCTGGCCTTTAGTGATTTGTGTCTACCACCAAAATTGAGATGCAACAGACTGCAGAATCATAGAGTTGGAAGAGACCTCATGGGCCATCCAGTCCAACCCCATTCCGCCAAGAAGCAGGAATATTGCATCCAAAGCACCCCTGACAGATGGCCATCCAGCCTCTGTTTAAAAGCTTCCAAAGAAGGAGCCTCTGCCACACTCCGGGGCAGAGAGTTCCACTGCTGAACGGCTCTCACAGTCAGGAAGTCCTTCCTCATGTTCAGATGGAATCTCCTTTCTTGTAATTTGAAGCCATTGTTCCGCGTCCTAGTCTCCAGGGAAGCGGAAAACAAGTATCCATATGTTTTATGTAATTACTAGCCGTCCCCTGCCACGCGTTGCTGTGGCCCACATGGGGGTTTTGTGTGGGAAGTTTGGCCCAATTCTATTGTTGGTGGGGTTCAGAATGCTCTGTGATTGTAGGTGAACTACAAATCCCAGCAATTACACCCTCCAAATGTCAAGATTCTATTTTTCCTGAACTCCACCAGTGTTCACATTTGGGCATATTGAGTATTCGTGTAGCGTTTGGTCCAGATTCATCATTGCTTGAGTCCACAGTGATCTCTGGATGTAGGTGAACTACAACTCCAAAACCAAAGGACACTGCCCACCAAACCCTTTCTAGTGTTTCCTGTTAGTCATGGGGGTTCTGTGTGCCAAGTTTGGTTCAATTCCATCGTTGGTGGGGTTCAGAATGCTCTTTGATTGTAGGTGAACTATAAATCCCAGCAACTACAACTCCCAAATGACAAAATCTTCTTTTTTTTTGAGTAAAGGACATACATTGGGTTGTTAGGTGTCTTGTGTCCAAATTTAGTGTCAATTCGTCAAGTGGTTTTTGAGTTCTGTTAATCCCACAAACGAACATTACATTTTTATTTATATAGATGATGTTATTGTTWATTGTTCGTGTTTRTGGTTGTGTCTTGGTTTTCTTTATTGTAATTGTTGTTCGGGCATGGCCTCATGTAAGCCGCTCCGAGTCCCCATCAGGGAGATGGTGTCGGGGTATAAATAAAAATTATTATTATTATTATTACTATTATTATTATTATTATTATTATTATTATTATTATTATATTTTGCTCTCTCCTCCCTGAGGCTTACTCTCACATATTTATGCATGGCTATCATATCTCCTCTCAACCTTCTCTTCTTCAGGCTTAACATGCTCAGCTCTTTAAGCTGCTCCTCATAGGGCTTGTTCTCCAGACCCTTTATCATTTTAGTCACCCTCCTCTGGAAGGATGCTCAGAGGTGAAAGCTACTAGAAATAGCAATAGTGGTTGGGAGTTTCTTCTCTCCTTACATGAAGCTAGAACTTCTGAGGCGTCTTGGAATCTTTTGGTGATTTTTTTGATACCATTCAGTGAAAGTTTTTTTTTTTTATCTTGCTTTCGTACCTCCTATACAGTGTTTTTCAACCTGGGGGTTGTGACCCCTGGGGGGGGGGGGGGAGGGTGTCAAAGGGGTCACAAAGAACATCAGAAAACACAGTATTTTCTGTTAGTCATGGGGGTTCTGTGTGAGAAATTTGGCCCAATTCTATCGTTGGTGTGGTCCTGATCTGTCATTGCTGGGGGCCTCAGTGGTCCTTGGGTGCCAAAGCGTTTGAAAGTACTGCAAACCCCATCATCCATTGTCCATCCTCCCCCAAACCACTCCAGGACATGAAGGGTCTCATGGGGGTTATGCGTGCCATTTTTGGTCCAGGTCTGTCACTCATGCTGCTCGCAGAGGCCTGTGAAAGTGGCAGCCAATCAAAAAGCTGCCACATACACACATACATACAAACATTCACTTTTATCTATATAAATAAAAATGTAAGGTTCGTTTGTGGGATTAACAGAACTCAAAAACCACTGGGCGAATTGACACCAAATTTGGACACAGTACATCTAACAACCCAATGTATGTCCTTTACTCATAAAAACACCCAAAAAGCTAAATGATGAAAAGTTAATGACAATACAGTAAAAAGGGAAGAAAGAGGGAGGGAAGGGGAGAAAGTAAGGAAGGAAGGAAGGAAGGAAGAAGGAAGAAGAAGAAGGAAGGAGGAAGGGGAGAAGGAAGGAAAAGAGGGGAAGGAAGGAAGGAAGGAGAAAGAAGGAGAGGAGAGGGAGAGTGAGGGAGGGAGGGAGGAAAGAAAAAGAGGAAAGAGAGAAGGAAGGAGAGAAGGAAATAAAAAAGGGAAAGAAAGAAAGAGGGAGGGAAGGAAAGAAGGAAAGAGAAGGAAGAAAAGAGAGACAGCAGAAGAGAAAGAAAAAGGGGGAAGAAGGAAAGAGATAGAGAAGGAAGGAAGAAGAGAAGGAAAGACGGGAAGGAAGGAAGGAAGGAAGGAAGGAAGGAAGGGAGGGAAGGAAAGAAGGAGAGAAAGAGGGAAGGTTGGCCACAGCAATGCATGGCGGTACAGCTAGTTATATAGATAGACACACACTGAGCAGGTACAACTGCACCAGGAGCTCCGATTTTGTTTGCTTTGTATTGAATGTTTGTTGTAGTCCTAAGTTTCAGGGACTCTGCAGATAAGTGGCTTCTTTTGGCTGCAATCATAGGGCAAGCCACCTGTCAATTATAGTTTGGTTCCCTGGTCCCGCACCCTTTTTGGGTTTTAGAGGGAATAGGAGCCATTTTGAGTTCAGTCCACACAGAGAAGCCTTTCACACAGGACATAATACCAAGAGCTCCTGTAGAAAGCTTCGTCTTCTACAGCTTGGATATACAGCCCTACATCTCCTTTGCTGAAGGACTTCAGTCAACCATCATGGAAACCTGAGTTCTTTTTCCCTGGAAGTCTAAAAAGCTCTGCTTGGTAAGGGTCACTCGCGGAAGCCAGAAGCAGTTGGTACCGGGTGCAGGGGCTCCACGCCAACAGAGGCAAAGACAGACTGCCCAGATTAGAAGTTAAGGATTTCCCCATTAAATACAGTTTATGAAGATAGTGCCTGTTCCCTCTGGACAAGATTGAGAGAGAGCCAATAGACTGTTAAGAAAGCCTTAAAGTACCTGTTTGTTTTCATTAATAAAGAACTTTGTTGAACTTTAAGCAATCTAAAGACTCTGTTTTAAGGAAATCCAAAGGCCTTTAATCTGAGGCAGTCCCGGCGTCCCGTTGGGCACACAGAATTTATGTCCTGTCTACAGTTTAATGCACAGGCCGAGCGTGCGACAGCACACACACACACACACAGAGAAACTTCAAAGAGCAAGTCTCACTTACAGATATAACTTTGGGAAGGCCATCAAGGTGTCAATGTGGACATGTTGCTCCAGTAGACTGTAGGCCACAATCGGCAGGGAGGTGAAGCAGATGTTGAACATGGTAAGGTAAGCAGCGTCATAGAGAGGCTGAAAACAAATGGGAATGGGAAGTTGGGAGTCACAACAGAAGTTTCCCCACTTACACATAAACATTCTACTACCTCCTGCCCTCCATGACAAAGTTATTTCCATTTTTTATTTTGTTCTCACTTGGTTTTCATGCTTAGAGAGATCATAGATCGTCACTGATCCCCGCGTCTACCCTGTTTACAGCCTTCTTAATGCTATGGAAATATGTGCTAATGAAGTTTGGAACAACCTTGGATTACAATTGTGTGATTTTAATAGTGATTGCAATGTTTTATATGTATTGATTCATGGCCGGAATCACTGGGTTGTTGTAGGTTTTTTTGGGCTATATGGCCATGGTCTAGAGGCATTCTCTCCTGACATTTTGCCTGCATCTATGGCAAGCATCCTCACTACATCTGAGGATGCTTGCCATAGATGCAGGCGAAACATCAGGAGAGAATGCCTCTAGACAATGGCCATATAGCCCAAAAAAACCTACAACAACCCACTGTTTTATATGTTTCATTGTACCTTTAATTACCTTTTTAAACTTCATAGAATCATAGAATTATAGAGTTGGGAGACACCTCATGGGCCATCCAGTCCAACCCCATTCTGCCAAGAAGCAGGAATATTGCATTCAAATCACCCCTGACAGATGGCCATCCAGCCTCTGTTTAAAAGCTTCCAAAGAAGGAGCCTCTACCACACTCTGGGGCAGAGAGTTCCACTGCTGAACGGCTCTCACAGTCAGGAAGTTCTTCCTCATGTTCAGATGGAATCTCCTCTCTTGTAGTTTGAAGCCATTGTTCCATTGCCTCCTAGTCTCCAAGGAAGCAGAAAACAAGCTTGCTCCCTCCTCCCTGTGGCTTCCTCTCACATATTTATACATGGCTATCATATCTCCTCTCAGCCTTCTCTTCTTCAGGCTAAACATGCCCAGCTCCTTAAGCCGCTCCTCATAGGGCTTGTTCTCCAGACCCTTGATCATTTTAGTCGCCCTCCTCTGGACACATTCCAGCTTGTCAATATCTCTCTTGAATTGTGGTGCCCAGAATTGGACACAGTATTCCAGGTGTGGTCTAACCAAGGCAGAATAGAGCATGGGGAGCATGACTTCCCTGGATCTAGACACTATGCTCCTATTGATGCAGACCAAAATCCCATTGGCTTTTTTTGCCACCGCATCACATTGTTGGCTCATGTTTAACTTGTTGTCCACGAGGACTCCAAGATCTTTTTCACACGTACTGCTCTCGAGCCAGGCATTGTCCCCCATTCTGTATCTTTGCATGTATTTTAACTGTATGTTGTTCAAAGGCCTTGAATAGTTGCCATACACAAAGCCTCCTGGAGTCCCCTTTGGGGTAGATAAAGGCGGGATACAAAAGAGTAAATAAATAAATACTTCAAGGACCATTCTTTTTTTTTTTGTGTCGTGTCAGGAGCAACTTGAGAAACTGCAAGTCGCTTCTGGTGTGAGAGAATTGGCCGTCTGCAAGGACGTTGCACAGGGGACGGCCGGATGTTTTGATGTTTTATCATCCTTGTGGGAGGCTTCTCTCATGTGCCCGCATGGGGAGCTGGAGCTGACAGAGGGAGCTCATCCTTTTTTTTAATTTTTAAAAACAGACAAAATAATAATAATAATAATAATAATAATAATAATAATAATAATAATAATAATACAGAGGGAGCTCATCCACGCTCTCCCCGGATTTGAACCTGCAACCTGTCGATCTTCAGTTCTGCCGGCACATGGGTTTAACCCACTGCGCCACTGGTGGCTTCTACATAAATAAATTCATGAGCAGCAATTCACATTTAGAACAGGACTCAGTTTCTCTCTCCTTTACACTATTTAACAAGATTTAACAACCAACAACAGAGGGAATCAAAAATTCGCAAAATCATTTCTATGAGCAACATACCTGTTGTGAAAAACCACAGAAGAACTGATACAAAAATTGGGGGAAAATGAAGCAAAGATTCTGCAAAAGAATAACAAGAGAGAGGGAGAGAAGCAGGTTAAAAGTTAATCCATCTTATCCTTTAATTCGTCAGTTAAACGCAATTGGATCCATTAGTACAACGTTTCTCAACCTGAGGGTCGGGACCTCTGGGGAGGGTCACAAGGGGGTTTCAGAGGAATTGCCAAAGACCATCAGAAAACATACACTTCTGATGGTCTTAGGAACCTCTCAGCTGGCCTCTCAGTCAAGGGGAGGGCTGTTTCTGAGACTCCAAACGGGGAAGGGAGAGCAGGCATGCGTGGTGCGCATGTGCAGGTGAGGGAGAGTGTACGAGGCTGGAGCGAGGCTTGCGCTAGCGAGTCCCTTCAAAGCATGGGGATTCTGGGTGGGAAATTTGGCCCAATTCTATCGTTGATGGGGTTCAGAATGCTCTTTGATTATAGGTGAACTAAAAATCCCTGCAACTACAACTCCCAAATGTAACGGTCTATTTGTCCTAAACTCCACCAGTGTTCATATTTGGACATATCAGGTATTTGTGCCAAGTTTGGTCCAGATCCATCATTGTTTGAGTCCATAGTGCATTCTGCATGTAGGTGAACTATAACGCCAAAACTCAAGGTCAATGCCCACCAAACTCTAATCTGCCTCCCTCAAAACTGCTTTTTGCCTCCTTCTCAATCACTCTGGACTTTTAACATATTCTGTGCTATTATTATCAGTTCGTGGGTGGAAGGAGTGTTCCAAGTTTGTGTGCCAAGTTTGGTTCAATTCCATCGTTGGTGGAGTTCAGAATGCTATTTGATTGTAGGTGAACTACAAATCCTAGCAACTACAACTCCCAAATGTCATGGTCTATTTCCCCCAATGTCCACCAGTATTCACATTTGGGCATGTTAAGTGTTCATGCCAAGTTTGGTCCAGATCCATCATTGTTTGAGTCCATAGTGCACTCTGCATGTAGGGGAACTATAACTCCAAAACTCAAAGTCAATGCCCACCAAACCCTTCAAGTATTTTCTGTTGGCAATGGGAGTTCTGTATGCCAAATTTGCTTCAATTCCATCGTTTGTGATGTTCACAATGCTCTTTGATTGTACGCGAAGTATAAATCCCAGCAACTACAACTCCCAAATGACAAAATAAATCCACCAACCCCATCAGTATTCAAATTTGGGCATATCGGGTATTCATGCCAAATTAGTGCCAGATCTATTATTGTTTGAATCCACAGTCCTCTCTGGATGTAGGTGAACTATAACTCCCAAACTCAAGGTCAATACCCACCAAACCCTTCCAGTATTTTCTGTTGGTCATGGGAGCTCTGTGTGCCAAGTTTGGCACAATTCCATCATTGGTGGAGTTCAGAATGCTCTTTGATTGTAGGTGAACTATAAATCCCAGCAACTACAACTCCCAAATGACAAAATCAATCCCCCCCAAGCCCACCAGTATTTAAATTTGGGGGTATCGAGTGGGGAGATCCTTGGGCACCTCTATTCCCATCCAACTCTGTTTAAAACTTTCCTCACCATTAACCTTTTTGTTATTAGCCTGCAATTGAGCAAATGTCTCAAATAATGAATATAACAATTCTACCTTGTAGAAGAAATACTGTACAAGGTGCGCTATCCTCACGTAGTATAAATGCCCGTGCGCCAGCAGCAATTTTTTCAAGTCTTTAAATTTTGGGATGGCGTAGTCGCTGTTTCGGGCTGCCTGGCGACCCTCTTTACCTTTTATACCTGGAAGCAGAGAGGAAAGATGGCAATTGCATACTGTTCTCTCAGAAAGATACATGCTATTACTGTGTTGTGCCAGTAATCAAGGTCACAACAACATCAGTGATAGAAGTACAATATGCTGATAATAACGTAGTCTGTGCGCGTTCAGTAGAAGACCTATAAGTCACTATAAACACCTTTGCAGAAGCATACGAGCAACTCGGCCTCTCATTGAACATCGAGAAAACCAAAGTGCTCTTCCAGCAGTCACCAGCCAGTCCCTCTGTGTAGTGAAATTGCTACTCTATGTTAAAGTTTTGGTGTATAGCTCTATGTTTACATATGACAGATAGGGAAGAATAGGCACAGACAGGGTAGCAACAGCAGAGATAGGATTCATTTGCATATGTGAAGCCGATTGGTCATATGCAGATTAGTGTAGGCCCAGGATTTGAAAAGGCTGCTAGGCCAAAATGACAGTTGGGCAGTTATGAAGATGTGCTAAAGACTTCTGATACAGAGAAGCAGTTAGTTAAATAGATCTCGAGTTTTAAGGAACATAAAGAAGGCTAGTGTTGCCTTAGTTCAGAATATAATTCAGCCAAGAGTGTGTAAAGCAAGTAACATGTTTGTGAATHTGAAACATTGATYGTTTATTCAGAAAAGTTAASCAAGTAAATGATACTGACTGTAAGCCTCAAGATTGCAACAAAACACAAATGTAACCACAAYCGTTGGAGCCAGAAGTGATAAATAAACTGTGTTACTTTGTTATACACTAGAGTGTTTCACGGCCTGTGATATAAAGTACAAAGGTTTAACAGCACACAGAAAGTCCCAGCTGATATATATATATATAATAAACTGAATCAGTATAAGGCAGCAAAGACGTTTTTAAAGAGGAAATAGTCTCTCTCCCTCGCCTCACTCTGCAATACCAGAAATCCAGCTTAATGGTGTAACATTAGAACATGTTGACCATTTCTGCTCCCTTGGCAGCCACCTCCCCACAAAAGTCAACATTGACACTGTCGCAGCTCAGGATAGATTCACCTTGCTCAGAACAACACCACACTCCAAGGCTGTAGGTTTTGTAGTTTATTGAAGAAAAAGCAAAATCATAAACATAGGAATAAGGTTGCAAAAGTTCAAAAGCCAAAATGCAAAGGCATAATTTCCAAGATTCAAAGGCATATAACATGAAGTATAATCCACAAGCATTGGTCAAACAAGAATCCATGGCAGCATGACAAAGTCCCCAAAAGCCAAGATCAAAACCAAAGTCCCAAAGAGCCAAAGCTTTCCCCAAAATCCGAGGCAATTCCAGAGAAGTTAACAGGGTGTAAGCGAAGTTGCGCTGACAACACATTGACTTCAATCAGATCGTTAAATATGTTTTCCTAGCATGAAAGCATTACGTTGACCTCGAACTTCCCATTTGTTGGCAAGCTGAGCACTTTGGCGTAACCTTATTTGCAAACGGTCCTCCCTAATCAAATCTCCATCACCTTCAAGGCCTGATACCTCATTATCCTGGGACTGACCAGCCTGGGAATCGACAGGCACTGAGCTCCCAGAAGGAGCGGCCGACTCCTCCACCTGCAGCTGTGAAGTTTCACTTAAATCCGGACCTTCATCTAAAACAACATTCATTTCTCTGGGAAACAGAAATGCCGTCTCTTCTTCAGAATCAACACTGCCTGCCTCAACAACCGGACCATGTTCAGAAATCTGTAACCCATCATTCTCCTCGTCCTGAGGAAACTCAGGCGCAGAAAGCTCAGCCTCAAACTGAGCCACAACAGACACTGAAATACAACATCGCCTGAGTTCTACGAGTGCAGCATTTTTTCCAAATGAAGCAGAGAATGTTTGAGGATTGGGACATCCGTAGAGAGACCAAGGTGCTTGTTTATAAAGTTATTGTCCTTCCAACCCAGTTAACGTGGACTGTCTACAGATGTCACTCAATTCCTGGAATGATTCTGTCAGTGTTGCCTCCAAAACATCCAGCAAATCTCTTGGGAAGACAAGTGGACAAATGTCATTGTGCTGGAAGAATCAAAGACCACCAGCATGGAAGCAGTGCTCCTATGCCATCAACCCCGCTGGACCGGCCACGTTAACCGAATGCCCAATCACTGTCTCCCAAAGTGGTTACCATACTTCCAACTCAAAAATGCAATATTGGTGGACAGGAAAAGAGATTTAAAGATGGGCTTAAAGCCAAGCTTAAAAACTGGTCATAGAAACCGAGAATTGGGAAGCCCTGGCCCTAACTGGAAGTCAGCTGTAACCAGCACTTCACTTAGGCGATCCCTCATTGTCCGAGTAGGATAATCCTCCAAGGTGGGTCTGTAGGTGACTATGGAGCCGTATTCTTGGTCTGCATCTTCTCCCGCAGTGAGGGCATTGGTTTCCAGGTGGAAGGCAGTCCACTCAGGGTTGGCTTGATGCGCCTTCCTCTTGACACGTTTCTCTCTTTCACCCTCCATTCGTGCCTCTTCAAGTTCTGCAGCACTGCTGGTCACAGCTGACCTCCAGCTGGAGTGCTCAAGGACCAGGGCTTCCCAGTTTTCAGTGTCTATGTCAGAGTTTTTAAGGTTGGCTTTGAGCCCATCTTTAAATCTCTTTTCCTGTCTTCCAACTACGTTCTTGAATTCAGAGTTGAGCAACTGCTTTGGGAGACGGTGGTCGGGCATCTGGACAATGTGGCTGGACCAGAGGAGTTGATGGTGGAGGACCATCGCTTCAATGCTGGTGGTCTTTGCTTCTTCCAGCACACTGACATTTGCCTGCCTGTCTTCCCAAGAGATTTGCAGGATTTTCCAGAGGCAGCGCTGATGGAATTGTTGGAGGAGTTGATGTGACGTCTGTAGACAGTCCACGTTTCGCAGGCATATAGCAGGGTTGGGAGGACAATAGCTTTAGAGACAAGCACCTTGGTCTCCCTACGGATGTCTCGGTCCTCAAACACTCTCTGCTGCATTCGGAAAACTGCTGCACGCGCAGAGCTCAGTTGGTGTTGTATTTCGGTGACCAGCAGTGCTGTGGAATTCAAAGAGGCACGAATGGAGGGCAAAAGGGAGAAATGTGCCAAGAGGAAGGTGCATCAAGCCAACCCTTAACAGGACCATCTTCCACCTGGAAACGATGTCCTCACTGTGGAAGAACATGCAGATCAAGAATAGGGCTCCACAGCTACCTAGGTATCCATTTCCAATACACTACATGACCATCATCCTTGGGCTACGAGGTATCGCCTAAATAAGTAAGTATGAATTCCTAACTTTTACTCTAAACCAGGGAGCGCTTTCTATGCAGTGATCCCCAGAAAGCCAACATCATGGCTAGGCATTTGAAGGCCCTGCTTACCTATGCCCACGTGAGCTTCCAAAATCATGCTGACGTCATTGGCTCCGTCTCCCACCGCGAGCGTTATGGGGCTGCCCCTTGAGTTCTTGACCATCCGAACAATCTAAAAAAAGTCAAGGCAAAAATGTAAAAAATATAGGCAAACTGAAGTATAGGATTGAAGAAACCACTCGCTTTGGAGGAGATGTGCAAGCCAAGGGATGGATGTGTCTCCAGAACATCAGCCCACAACCTGAATGGATCTGTTCCTCATAGACAGGCATGGGCAAACTTCGGCCCTCCAGGTGTTTTGGACTTCAGCTCCCAGAAATCCCAGCCAGCATAAGCTGGCTGGGATTTCTGGGAGTTGAAGTCCAAAACCCCTGGAGGGCCAAAGTTTGTCCATGCCTGCTCATGGCTATTACCTAGAATCATAGAATCATAGAGTTGGAAGAGACCTCATGGGCCATCCAGTCCAACCCCCTGCCAAGAAGCAGGAAAATTGCATTCAAAACACCCCCGACAGATGGCCATCCAGCCTCTGCGTAAAAGCTTCCAAAGAAGGAGCCTCCACCATACTCCGGGCAGAGAGTTCCATTGCTGAACGGCTCTCACAGTCAGGAAGTTCTTCCTTATGTCCAGATGGAATCTCCTTTCTTGTAGTTTGAAGTCATTGTTCTGCGTCCTAGTCTCCAGGGCAGCAGAAAACAAGCTTGCTCTCTCCTCAACGACTTAAATCAAGAAATAGTTTTCTAAGGTCTACAGAGACACTCGCTGGAACACCTCAGCAAGCGAGAGTCCAAAAGTGGCAGGCTGAAACCCAGAACCTCAATCCATGGCTGATACCAAATGAGGGACTCCCCCCTGGGCACACAGAAACTGGGCGACTTGGAAAGCTGCGCTCTGGCACCATGAGATGCAGAGCCAATCTTAAGAAATGGGGCTACAGAGTGGAATCCAAGACATGCGAGTGTGGAGAGGAGCAAACTACAGACCACCTGCTGCAATGCAACTTGAGCCCTGCTACATGCACAATGGAGGACCTTTTTATGGTAACACCAGAGGCACTCCAAGTGGCCAGCTACTGGTCAAAGGACATTTAATCAACTACCAAGCTTGGAAACTTTGTGTTTTGTTTGTTTGTTTGTTAACAAAAATGCAATACAACTGTTTGGCTTGCTCCTGACACGATAAATATACCCAGTCATTAGATGGGAGGCACTGGAATGGCACATCTCATACGCAAAGACCCACATCTTGATGAAAAAAAAAAAAGCCTGAGCTACTCACCTGGGCTTTTTGGAGAGGGGCCATTCGACAACACAGGACTGCTGTGCATTTCAGGCATATCTGGAGGAAGATGCTCTTGTAGTGGCCGGAGCGCGAGTCTTGGGAAGGGTTGAGTATGAGGGACAGGGTGGCCCCATCAATGACCAGGCCATACTCTTGACTGAGCAGCCAGGTCCTAAAAGATAGAAGGCAACACTATAAAACTGGTTCAAGATTGGGAAAGGCGTACGGCAAGGCTGCATACTCTCACCCAATCTTTTTAACTTGTATGCAGAACACATCATGCGATGTGCGGGGCTGGATGAATGCAAAGCTGGGGTGAAAATTGCTGGAAGAAACATTAACAACCTCAGATATGCAGATGACACCACTCTGATGGCCGAAAGCCAGGAGGAGCTGAGGAGCCTTCTAATCAAGGTGAAAGAAGAAAGCGCAAAAGCCGGGTTGCAGCTAAACGTCAAAAAAACCAAGATTATGGCAACAAGAATGATTGACAACTGGGAAATAGAGGGAGAAATCGTGGAGGCCGTGACAGACTTTGTATTTCTAGGCGCAAAGATGACTGCAGATGCAGACTGTGGCCAGGAAATCAGAAGACGCTTCCTTCTTGGGAGGAGAGCAATGTCCAGTCTCGATAAAATAGTAAAGAGTAGAGACATCAGACTGGCAACAAATATCCGCCTAGTCAAAGCCATGGTATTTATTCCATGTAGTAACCTACGGATGTGAGAGCAGGGCCTTAGGGAAGGCTGAGCGAAGGAAGATAGATGCTTTTGAACTGTGGTGTTGGAGGAAAGTTCTGAGAGTGCCTTGGACCGCGAGAAGATCCAACCAGTCCATCCTCCAGGAAATAAAGCCCGACTGCTCATTGGAGGGAAGGATACTAGAGACAAAGTTGAAGTACTTTGGCCACATCATGAGGAGACAGCAAAGCCTAGAGAAGACAATTATGCTGGGGAAAATGGAAGGTAAAAGGAAGAGGGGCCGACCAAGGGCAAGATGGATGGATGGCATCCTTGAAGTGACGGGCTGACCTTGAAGGAGCTGGGGGTGGTGACGGCCGACAGGGAGCTCTGGCGTGGGCTGGTCCATGAGGTCACGAAGAGTCGGAGACGACTGAACGAATGAACAACAACAACAACACTATAAAAAGCAATACGCAGTTCTCTCAACCAGAACTCCTGAAACAATAAGGATGGCGAGTTTTTCTTGGTGGGCAAAATGATCCAAAAGTTTCAGAGATGTTATTTCCAGTTTTCCTCCTGGGAGAGTTTACACTGACTTTGACACACACACACAAACATAAAACCCCCCAAAGCCACCAAAGCTGTCTCTGTTCCATAACCAGGCCCGAAACCAGACTGAAATGGATCTAGATCAGTGTTTCTCAATCTGGGGGTCAGGACCCCTGGAGGGTGTCAGAGAGGTCACCAAAGACCACCAGAAAACACAGTATTTTCTGTTGGCTATGGAGGTTCTATGTGGGAAGTTTGGCCCAATTCTATCATCGAAGAGGTTCAGAATGCTCTTTAATTGTAGGTGAACTATAAATCCCAGCAACTAAAACTCCCAAATATTAGGTCTATTTTCCCCAAACTCCACCAGTGTTCATATTTGGGCATTCGTGCCAAGTTTGGTCCAGATCCATCATTGCTTGAGTCCACAGTGTTCTCTGGATGTAGGTGAACTACAACTCCAACAACTCAAAGTCAATGCCCACCAAACCTTCCCAGTATTTTCTGTTGGCCATGGGAGTTCTGTGTGCCAAGATTGGTTCAATTCTATTATTGGTGGGGTTCAGAATGCTCTTTGGTTGTAGGTGAACTAGCAACTACAACTCCCAAATGACAAAATCAATCCTCCCGCTGCCAACCTCACCAGTATTCAAATTTGGGCATATCAGGTATTTGTGCCAAATTTGGTCCAGTGAATGCATCCTGCATATCAGTTATTTACATAACAGTAGCAAAATTACAGTTAGGAAGTAGCAACAAAAATAATTTTCTGGTTGGGGGTCACCACAACATGAGGAACTGTATTAAGGGGTCACGGCATGAGGAAGGTTGAGAAACACTGCTCTAGGGAGCGTTTACACTGACTTCGACACACACACACACACACGCACAAACATAAAACCCACCAAAGCTGTCTCTGTTCCATAACCAGGCCTGAAACCAGACTGAAATGGATCTAGATAATAATAATAATAATAATAATAATAATAATAATAATAATAATCTTTATTTATACCCCACTGTGACCCCAAGTGGCGCCACTTGTGTGTAGAAATTTAAAGTGCAAAGGTTTAAGCCAGGGGTCCTCAAATTAAGGCCCGGGGGCCGGATACGGCCCTCCAAGGCCATTTACCTGGCCCTCGCTCAGGGTCAACCTAAGTCTGAAATGGCTTGAACGTACACAACAACAACAACAATCCTATCTCATCAGCCAAAAGCAGGTCCACACTTCCCATTGAAATACTAAGTTTATATTTGTTAAAATTGTTCTTCATTTTAATTATTGTATTGTTTTAAGTGTTTTTGCACTACAAATAAGATATGTGCAGTGTGCACAGGAATTCATTCATGTTTTTTTCAAATTATAATCTGGCCCTCCAACATTTTGAGGGACTGTGACCTGGCCCTCTGTTTAAAAAGTTTGACGACCCCTGGTTTAAACTGAATAACATGCCCAAACTTGCCTAGTTTGTAAATGTATAGTTGGATTGATTGGTTATTTATAGCTGTCAATCAATGTTGTTTGCACCAGTTATATTGCCCTAAACGGCTCCGGCCCAAGATACCTATCTGACCGCATCTCGGCCTATGAGTCCACGAGGACTTTGAGATCGTCCGGGGAGGCCCTGCTCTCGATCCCGCCTGCCTCACAGGCACGCCTGGCGGGGACGAGAGACAGGGCCTTCTCGGTGGTGGCTCCTCGGCTGTGGAACACCCTTCCCGTGGACATCAGACTGGCGCCCTCCCTTATGACATTCCGCAAGAAACTAAAGACGTAGCTGTTCGAGAAGGCGTTCGAACAAGAAGTGCAATAATTGGCAATGATGATAGGAATGGAACAACGGAAACGATATTGGATTATGGCTTAACGATGAGACGATGCGAATGACTTTTTTGTATTATTGATATTGAGATTGTTGATGTTGTGATGACGATGTTTTGATATTGCTAGTTTGTTGTTATATTATATCTTGTAATTTGCACCTATTCTCTACATGTTGTACACCGCTGTGAGTCGCCCCTGGGCTGAGAACAGCGGTCTATAAGCACAGTAAATAAAATAAATAAATAAATAAATAATATTGCTTCCTCAGCTTGCTTGGCTCTACCTTTTCCTGGAGGAGGGTAGAGGTTTTCCTTTTCCATTCTACCATCAAACTTTCTATCAGATAGACGTGATAGCCTCTAAAGCCCTTAATTAAGCTACCTCTCATCACCAATTCTAAGGTTTTTACCCTTGGGACTCATACTTCATGTCCAGATCACCCTGGACAATGTTGAGGAGACCCAAGTGCCTTCAAACCGGTCCTTTGGCATCAAAAGGAAGACTCTGTGCCTTCAACATAGGCCATTGGACTTGGGGTTGTGTTTGTTCCAACCTTCACAGCCATTGAGAAAAGAGGGAACAGGAAAAGCTTCTCAGCTGCGAAATCTCCTTGGACCCAAGAGAACCAGAGAATGTAATGTATATTTCCTTTACCCCTTTGAAACTGCCAGCTTATTTGCCTTAAAAGGATAGCTCTTTGTGGACAATAAAACCTATTTTGAGTTATCTACAGTGTTTTGGTCCTTGGGAGTTCCAGTTCTTTAAAGGAAGGCAAGAATACAAAACACAGCTGCCCTTGGAACCCAGAAGGCACAAATGCCATTTTATTTATTTACTATCCATCCCCTACCATGTGTTGCTGTGGCCCAATCTGTGTATATGCGTTTTCTGTGTGTGTATATTTGTGTATATATGTGTGCTTGCGTATATATATGTGTGTGTGTGTGTGTGTATGTATATATTTGTGTGTTTATAGGTGTTCATGCATATTGTGTATATGTGTGTGCTTGTCTATATGCATATTTGTGTGCATATATTTGTATGTATGTGTATATGTATATATTGTACATGAATGTGTGCATGTGTATATGTGTGTATATATGTATATATGTGTGAGCATGTGTATATATGTGTGTATGTATATGCATGTGTGTGTATATGTGTATATTTTTGTGTGTTTGTGCATATATATACAAATATGTGCATGTGTATATGTATATGAGTGTATGTGTATATATGGTGTATTTTGGGGGGTTTTAAGTCTGCTCCGCTGGGGTTTTGTGTGTGTGTGTGTGTTTTTAGGGGTGATGGACACTCGTTGGACTGTTAGGTGTATTATGTCCAAATTTTGTGTCAATTCGTCCAGTGGTTTTTGAGTTATGTTAATCCCACAAACGAACATTACATTTTTATTTATATAGATTTATTTACAGTATTTATATTCCGCCCTTCTCACCCCGCAAGGGACTCAGGGTGGGTTACAATGTACATATACATGGCAAACATTCAATGCCATAGACACACAACATATATAGACAGACACATAGAGGCTATTTAACATTCCAGCTTTTTGATGAGGGTATTCTGGCCACTAGGGGAGCTGTTGCTTCACCGTCCATTTGTGACACTGATGCAGTACTTCCTCATTCTTTGCATGCTTGCTGGAGATTTTTATGGAGTCGTAAATTAGTTAAATTAGCCTCCCCGGTTATGTGGTACCTAAATTTCCTACTTGACAGATGCAACTGTCTTTCGGGCTGCAAAGGTCGACAGCAAGCTACACAAATTGGTCAGAAGCTCACTCCGACCCTGCCTGGATTCGAACTCAGTAGTGATCTTAATGCAGCTGACTCCCAGTCACAATCCTACTTACCTCTTGCCATGAGGCATGTCGACCACCAGCTTTTTGTGGTAATCCACCAGCAGCTCGTGGAGGCGGTCCTCCTTGCGGTCATCCTCCCCCACCATTTTGGTTGTCAGCTGCAGCAATTCGGTGCTGGTTTGGAAGAGCCTGCAGGCGTAGCAGGTGGCCTGGGCGGTCTCCAGTTTGTCCCCCGTCAGCACCCAGATCTTCATGCCCGCCTTGTGCAAGGCCTCAATGGTTTCGGCCGCCATGTCTTGGAGCCTAGGGACAGATATAGCTTTACTGGTCAAGCCAAAGCATTTAGGCAACCAAAAGCTTCCTGTCTTTGGTGGTCTCTTTGCTTAAAGGGAGACAAATCTTATAGAGACATTTTAGAATCTAAAACTTGTAAGCTGAATGCAGTTAGATCCAATCAACACAGATACATTTGCTTATTCACTATGTGGCACCATTTTTGTTCCTGGGTTATAAACATCATTTCCTAATTGGTTCTATCATAAACACAAGGAAAAGGTTTATTAAACTGCTAAAACTTTGTTTTTGCAGGACATTTTGCAGCACATTTTGCTATAGTTCAGTGGTTCTCAACCTGGGGGTCGGGACCCCTGCGGGGGTCGCCAGGGAGTGTCAGAGGGGTCGCCAAAGACCATCAGAAAACACAGTATTTTCTGTTGGTCATGGGGGTTCTGTGTGGGAAGTTTGATCCAAATCAATTGTTGATGGGGTTCAGAATGCTCTTTGATTGCAAGTGAACTATAAATCCCAGCAACTACAACTCACAAATGTCAAGGCCTATTTTCCCCAAACTCCACCAGTGTTCACATTTGGGCATATTGAGTATTTCAGGATTAATTTAGTTATGTATGTGTTTTTCGATGTGCTTCTATGTATTGCCAAGATGGATGCCACTGTGAATTCAAAATGCCATGCAGAAGTGTTTATACTTTGAGGCTGTGATTAAGTGAACTTGAAAAAGTAAGATAAGGGTTGTTCTTGCTGAGAACAGAAGGGAGTTGCCAGTCTCAGCCAGAGAAGATAAGCAGATGTGAAGAGGCTTTCGGTTTTGACTAGTTCCTGAATTGTAGCTCGCTGTAGAAAGACGTGTCTGTTGAATGTACTTAGTAAACTTAGTTTCTTTTGTAGCTCAAAGCCTTCAGAGACCTTATTTTGCAACTCAGTGTCTGCTTGATCTAGCATTCCTTCCGCTGGGTATCGTCAATCTCTGACAGAGTATTCATGTCAAGTTTGGTCCAGATCCATCATTGTTTGAGTCCACAGTGCTCTCTGGATGTAGGTGAACTACAACTCCAAAACTCATGGTCAATGCCCACCAAACCCTTCCAGTATTTTCTGTTGGTCATGGGAGTTCTGTGTGCCAAGTTTGGTTCAATTCCACTTGGTTGATGGAGTTCAGAATGCTCTTTGATTGTAGGTGAACTATAAATCCCAGCAACTACAACTCCCAAATGACAAAAATCAATCCCCCCCCCCAACCCCACCACTATTCAAATTTGGGCATATCAAGTATTTGTGCCAAGTTTGGTCCAGTGAATGGAAATACATCCAGCTTATCAGATAATTGCATTACAATTAATAACAGAAGCAAAATTACAGTTATGAAGTAGCAAAATAATGTTATGGGATTTTCTAGTGCAGTGGTTCTCAACCTTCCTAATGCCTAGACCCCTTAATACAGTTCCTCATGTTGTGGTGACCCCCCAATATTTTTGTTGCTACTTCATAACTGTAATTTCACTACTGTTACAAGTCGTAATGTCAATATCTGATATGCAGGATGTATTTTCATCCAGTGGACCAAATTTGGCATTTGGGAGTTGTAGTTGATTTTTGTCATTTGGGAGTTGTAGTTGCTGGGATTTATAGTCCACCTACAATCAAAAAGCATTCTGAACTCCACCAGTGATGTAATTGAAACAAAACTCAATGACCAATGGAAAATACTAGAAGGGTTTGGTGCGCATTGACCTTGAGTTTGGGAGTTGTAGTTCACCTACATCCAGACAGCAGTGTGGGCTCAAACAATGATGGATCTGGACCAAACTTGGCACAATACTCCATATGCCCAAATGTAAACACTGGTGGAGTTTGGGAAAAATAGACCTTGACATTTGGGAGTTGTAGTTTCTGAGATTTATAGTCCACCTACAATCAAAAAGCATTCTGAACTCCACCAGTGATGTAATTGAAACAATTTTAGAACACAAAACTCAATGACCATTGGAAAATACTAGAAGAGTCTGGTGGGCACTGACCTTGAGTTTTAGAGTTGTAGTTCACCTATATCTAGAGAGTAGTGTGGACTCAAACAATGATGGATCTGGACCAAACTTGGCACGAACACTCCATATGCCCAAATGTAAACACTGATGGAGTTTGGGGAAAGTAGACCTTGACATTTGGGAGTTGTAGTTACTGGCATTTATAGTTCACCTACAATCAAAGAGCATTATGAACCCCACCAAGGATAGAATTGGGCCAAACTTCCCACACAGAACCCCCATGACCAACAGAACATACTGTGCTTTCTGATGGTCTTTGGCGACCCCTCTGACACCCCGCTGGTGACCCCTCCAGGGGTCCCGACCCCCAGGTTGAGAAATGCCTACAATCAAAGATTAAGGGGTTGCGGCATTAGGAAAGTTGCTATAGTTGTTCAATGACTATCTCATCGAGTCTCAACCAATTCAACCTAGCTTGTGGCAGCCACAAAAACAAAGTTTCTGGAGTAGAACAACGACTTTCAAAGTAAGTACCGCACAATTAAACAGGAAATAACACTTTCAAAGCAGGAACGGATTTGTTTTCCATTTTTGTTAAATTGTGTTATTATTTTACAATGGGAGGGACAGTTATTTCTATCTCAATAATTCTGTTATTTTCCAAATGTTGGGTTTGTATTATCATTCCGTGCCAGAATTGGGAATAGCGCTGTGCGGCTTTATGTGTCTTTGCTTACTTGTCCTCCACAGCCGTGGACCCTATCAAATGCATGTCCGTCTCGATCTCGTCAAACACCTTGGCCATTTTCGCTTCCCGATCCTGCAGCGCCATCGTCGCTTCCTTAATCCGGTTACTGATTTGCACGAAGTGGGAAGGGGAAATTTCCTTGAAAGCCACACAGAGTGTCCGATAGCCATCCTGGAAGCAAGCAGGTGTAATCTCTCAAGTTTGGTAGACAACTTCCAACGTCTAAAGCAACATTCTTTCACTTAAAGAGGTAAATGTTTTGGGGGGGATTATCGCTCCCAGGAAATTAGGTAGCAGATTACACGGGCTGTCTTAATAATAATAATAATAATAATAATAATAATAATAATAATAATAACAACAACAACAACAACACTTTATTTGTACTGGCACAACCTGGGGATCACAACCAGATACAGTGAAGACATCTGCCCTTGCACTTTGCTACTCTGCTGCTGAGTACGCATGCCCAGTGTGGAACACATCTCACCACACTAAAACAGTGGATGTGGCTCTTAATGAGACATGCCGCATTATCACGGGGTGTCTGCGCTCTACACCACTGGAGAAATTACACTGCTTAGCCGGTATTGCACCACCTGACATCCGCTGGGAAGTAGCAGCCAATAGTGAAAGGACCAAGGCAGAGACATCTCCAGCTCATCCCATGTTTGGGTATCAGCCAGCACGTCAATGACTTAAATCCAGACATAGTTTTCTAAGATCTACAGAGACACTCGCTGGAACACCTCAGCAAGCGAGAGTCCAAAAGTGGCAGGCTCAAACCCAGAACCTCAACCAATGGCTGATACCAAATGAGAGACTCCCCCTGGGCACACAGAGGACTGGGCGACTTCGAAGGCGCTGAACAGACTGCGTTCTGGCACAACGAGATGCAGAGCCAACCTTCAGAAATGGGGCTACAAAGTGGAATCCTCGACATGCGAGTGTGGAGAAGAGCAAACCACTGACCACCTGCTGCAATGCAACCTGAGCCCTGCCACATGCACAATGGAGGACCTCCTTGTGGCAACACCAGAGGCACTCCAAGTGGCCAGATACTGGTCAAAGGACATTTAATCAACTACCAAACTCACACATTTTGTATTTTCTCTGTTTGTTTGCTTTGTTCTGTTAGAAATGTAATATAATTGACTGGCTGCCCTGACATGAGAAATAAATAAATAAATTTGTGCCCCGCTACCATCTCCCCAAGGGACTCGGTGCTGCTTATTATTTTATTTATTTACTTATTTCCCGCACTTCTACCCCGCCCTTCTCAACCCCCGAGGGGGGACTCAGGGCGGCTTACAAAAGGCACAATTTGATGCCAGTATAAACATAAACAATGGATAAAACATGTATACAGCAATTATAACAATTAAACAGTCACTTTATACAACAAAATCAATAAAAATCAATAAAACCAGTCAATACTCAGCGTTCACCATCTCAGAGTCCATAAATTCATTCCATATTGTCTAGTCATCATTGTCCTTGTCTAACTGCCAGATTGCCCGGAAAATCCTGCAAATTTCTTGGGAAGACAAGCGGACAAACGTCAGCATGCTGGAAGAAGAAAAAACCACCAGCATTGAAGTGATGGTCCTCCGCCATCAATTCTGCTGAACCGGCCACGTTGTCCGGATGCCCGACCACTGTCTCCCAAAGCAGTTGCTCTACTCCGAACTCAAGAACGGAAAATGAAATGTTGGTGGACAGGAAAAGAGATTGAAAGATGGGCTCAAAGCCAACCTTAAAAACTCTGGCATAGACACTGAGAACTGGGAAGCCCTGGCCCTTGAGCGCTCCAGCTGGAGGTCAGCTGTGACCAGCAGTGCTGCAGAATTTGAAGAGGCATGAATGGAGGGTGAAAGAGAGAAACGTGCCAAGAAGAAGGTGCGTCAAGCCAACCCCGACTGAGACCGCCTTCCACCTGGAAACCAATGCCCTCACTGTGGAAGAAGATGCAGAACAGGCCTACTATCCACCACACTTGGCTGTGAAAAACAATCCTTTTTTATTGAAGAAAAATGGTTACAAAATAAAGGAAAAATGCAAGTCAAAAGCCACAGCAAAATCAGCAAACATGAATTTAAATGGACAAAGCAAAACCAAAAGCCTCACTGTGAAATACTGGAACCTGTTAGCAATCCACTAACCGTACTTGATATCCTAGAAATCTTCCCAAACTATGGCCAGGGAACCGGGAGAACTGCCAAGGTCTTCATCAATTCTGAAACGATGCCTGAACTGAGACAGTCAGCCCGGCGTAAGGCAATTAAAACTCAAGAATTGGTTCCGTGAACCGCCCTTCTTTTTTGAAGCCAATGTTTTTAATTCTTGAATTCGGGAGGATCGACGCAAACTGAGTGATTTACTTCTGTCTTCCCAAATTTGGCCCCTTCTGTTGTCATTACAGTTAACAGGTGCAGAAGGGAGGGAAAGTTCAAGGTCTCCCTCTGCAACATTCTCATTAACACTGGTACTTTCATTTTCCAAATCTACAGAAGTTCCTTCCTCACTAATTTCAGGAACATTGGCATTTTCCAAACCTACAGCAGTTTCTTCCTCACTAATTTCAGGAGCATTGGCATCAAAAGGTACATTTCCATTAGCATCAGTAAATATACTTTCATTAGCATCAGGAGGAACAAACAGAGAATCAGGTTCAAATTCAAACTCAGGCTGAACCCCAACACTCACTGCGGGAGAAGATGCAGAGCAAGAATAGGGCTCCACAGCCACAAGAATACTGATCCTGGAAGACTATCCTACTCGGCCAACGAGAAATCGCCTTTGTAAAGTTGACTCACATTTTTGTAATTAAAAATGTCCAGTTAATTTTTGATATTTCTGATAAGGTTCACCCAAAGCTCTTACCAGCGCGTTACGCTCCACGTGTATTTTGGTCTTCTGTGCTTCGGCCTCCGGGACCCTCGGGAAAACAGCTGAATCTGCTCCTTTGCAGAAGAGGTACAGCTTTCCTAAAATGCAATGTGCAGATTGAGATATTTGGGTTTGGGAAGAGGTGAAGAAACAATTGCTGAATGTACTGTTCAGAAAAGGGTTTCACAGAGGGGCAGGGAAAGAGTTGGAACTGACCGTCTATTGACTTCACCAGAACGCTCATTCGCCGACGGACACAATCAAAATCGAGAACGTGTAGCAGCTCGTAACTTTGCAGACAAGAGGAGGAAAAAAAGAACATTTAGAAGAGTGTAGACGTCAGGACAGGTCATAGCTGTGTTTGCTAGTGCATCTCAAAGCTGCTGCCAACACCGGACTTTTTTGCTTTGCTTCCTGGCACTGAATATGAAACTGACTTTGGGAGCCTTCCCAGATATACAAAATTAAAACAAAAAAGTATAGGGTCAGTTTCGATTCTAAAATATTTGGCATGGGCCATGCAAACGCTTCGGAAATGGCTTCCAATTTACAAAACTTCCGACTTTCTTACGAATTCCAACTTTTCCGAATTATTGCATATGCCTAATATGCAAATTAAAAAGTTGTATAAACAGAACATGAAAACAGCCTCCATATAGATGTTGATTTATATCTCCCCAAATATATCTGACTGCATCTCTGCCTATGAACCCACCAGGACTTTGAGATCTTCCGGGGAGACCCTGCTCTCGATCCCGCCTGCTTCTCAAGCTCGGCTGGCGGGGACGAGAGATAGGGCCTTCTCGGTGGTGGCTCCTCGGCTGTGGAACACCCTTCCTACGGACATTAGACTAGCACCATCTCTAATGGTATTCCGCAAAAAAGTGAAGACCTGGCTGTTTAAGCAGGCATTCGAATAATTACTGCAATGATTGGTTAATGAACACTGGAATGGAACAATAGATGACGAATCTGGAACATGTTTTTGATGACGAGACGACAGTGAATGGGTATTGTAGTAACTGTTATTAATTGTGTAATGTGTTAGGTTGTTAACTGTTTCTATACTGTAGCACTGAATTTTTGCTGTTCGTATTTGTTGTGAACCGCTGTGAGTCGCCTTCGGGCTGAGAACAGCGGTATATAAGTAAGGTAAATAAATAAATAACAACAACAACAACAATAATAACAATAACAATTATTATTATTATTATTATTATTAATTTACTGTATTTGTATACCGCCTTTCTCAGCCATTCAGCGACTCAAGGCAGTTTCCAACAAATCAGTACATATAAAAACATAATACAGATTAAAACATTAAACAATATAAAACACCACAAAAGCAATAAAAACAACATCATTAGCATCTCATTATTCCCAAGCATTGTCCAGTTCCATTGTCAAATCGTTCGATTTCCTATATTAGCTACTCTGCATTTGTAAATGCTTGCTCGAACAGCCATGTTTTAACTTGCCTTCGAAACGTTAAGAGGGAGCAGATCTAATCTCCCTAGGGAGGATGTTCCATAGCCGAGGGGCCACCACTGAGAAGGCCCTGTCTCTTGTTCCCGCCAAACGTACTTGAGATGAAGGCAGGACCGAGAGCAGGGTCCAAGATGTTGAACCTATCTAGAGGGATGGGATATTGAACAGGTCCTTTAAAGTTCAGACTAAAACCCAGAACAGATGCATTGCCCCCAACGACACCAGGGTTAACAGCTGGTGTTTGTTCAAAACCCAACAGAAATAAACCAAAAGATAGGAATAGCCTCTCTTGCCCGGAATCTATCTGCACAATATGTCACATTCCATCATTAAGAAGCGTCAGTGTTTCTCAACCTTCCTAATTTGTCTCCCCAAATAATAATAATAATAATAATCATAATATTTATTTATTTATTTATTTATTTATTTACTGTATTTGTATACCGCCTTTCTCAGCCAATCGGCGACTCAAGGCGGTTTCCAACAAATCAGTACATATAAAAACATAATACAGATTAAAACATTAAACAATATAAAACACCACAAAAGCAATAAAAACAACATCATTAGCGTCTCATTATTATCAAGCATTGTCCAGTTCCATTGTCAAATCGTTCGATTTCCTATATTAGCTACTCTGCATTTGTAAACGCTTGCTCGAACAGCCATGTTTTAACTTGCCTCCGAAACATTAAGAGGGAGGGAGCAGATCTAATCTCCCTAGGGAGGGTGTTCCATAGCCGAGGGGCCACCACTGAGAAGGCCCTGTCTCTCGTCCCCACCGAACGTACTTGAGATGAAGGCGGAACCGAGAGCAGGGCCTCCCCAGACGATCTTAGAGTCCTTGATGGTTCGTAAGGGGAGACACGTTCGGATAGTAGACTTGGGCGGTTTCGTTCGTTAATTTCGTAATTCATTATTAATTCGTATTTAAATTAGCTTACGATCCAATATTGAGCCATGCAGGAATAGTGTGAGGAGTAAATTACATTCGAAACAATTTTTTCAATTTATTTCGTAATTATTTTGTAATTATTTTGTAATTATTTTGTAATTATTTTGGCATGTCTGGTGCAAGTTTTATAGTTGTTGTTTTTTTTATCACACCAACAGTCAACAACAGAGGGAGAGGGAAAATTCAGAAGTTCCCCCTGTCCCATTTGGATGTTTTTTTAGCATATTGCGCAATCGCGTCCGCCATTAACGAATGGATTCGTAATTTTACGAAATTTCGTATATTTCGAAATTTTTACAAGGAAAATTTCGGAATTATTTAAAAAAAACGAAACGCAAGGGCCCCCTAAAAACAAAACGAGTTTAGAACCAATTTTTTCCGTGGTTACCCAAGCCTATCGGATAGGTAAGTTGGGTCAGAACTTATCATCATCATCATCGTCATCATCATCATCACCACCATCACTTTCATACAGATCACAGTCCAACTTGCCTGCCTCTTCCCTTTTGGAAGCAAGAATAAAGGTGAAGCAAGCATCCTGATAGTACACACAGACAAAATTAACACTATATTCCTATTTTCCTGAATAGTTTTGGCTTCCTTTTGCAATACCGGAAAGCCAAACGGCAACCCCGCCTACCTTTCAATTTGCTTGTTTGAATTCTGTAACTTCATGAAGTTGTTTTCTTGTCCTAGAAAAGTGAAACCATACCTGTCAATAAACAAAAAGGACAGAATGGCGTTGAAAAAAAAAACAACACGCACGCACACACGCTTTAAATTAAAAAAAAGAAAAGAAACCAAATAAAGGGGAAAAGGAATAAAAAAACCACACAATGGGAAGGGCTATGTATGCATTACAATTGTGGGGGATATTTTGCTTTTTTCCCCTGCCAAATGAGTAATTACACAAAAGGGAGAATTTGTGTAATTTGTGGAAGATTGAGTTTTTTTCTGTGGGTTGTTCTAAAGACCTGAAACACAGCCAGATACAGTTCCATCACCTGTATTCTCCTCGTTTCGGTATTTATTTATTTATGACATTTATATGCCGCCCTTCTCACCCCGAAGGGGACTCAGAGCGGCTTACAAGATATATGTACATGTGACGGCGTGAGTGGCGCCACCAATATGTAGAACTGTAAGTTGCAAGATTTGAATTTTTGTATAATGCCTGATTTTGCCTTTTTACCCTGTAAATGAATAGTTGGATTGATTGGTTATTTATAGCTGTCAATCAATGTTGTTTGCACCAGTTAAATTACTCCTCCTGCTCAATTGTTTGGACCCACCCCTTCCTAGAGAGCAGGACAGTGTTTCCTTTTCCATTCCACCATCAAACTTTCTATCAGATGGACGTGAGAAAGGGACTTGGCTCTAAAGCCCTTGATTAAGTTACCTCTCAGCACCAATTCTGAGGTTCTTACCCCTGAGACTTATGCTTCATGTTCAGATAAACCTGGGCGACTTTGAGAAGTCTCAAGCGCCTTCAAACCAGTTCTTTGGCACCAGAGGAAGGCTTTGTCCCTTCAAATATAGGCCATTGGAATTGGGGTTGTGATTATTCTGATATTCACAGCCATTGAGAAAAGAGGGAACACGAAAAGCTTCTCAGTTGCGAAATCTCCTTGGATCCAAGACAACCAGAGACTGTAATGTATATTTTCCTTTACCCCTTTGAAACTTCCAGCTTATTGCCTTAAAGGGATAACTCTTTGTGAACAATAAAACCTATTTTGAGTTATCTACAGTGTTTTGGTCGTTGGGAGTTCCAGTTTCCTAAAGGAGGGCAAGAAGCAATCCCCTGGGGGAAAGATATCACGTCCATGCCTCTTTCTCTAAGAGTCATAGCCCCCGGGTGAGACGGCAGACTAGATTATATTATTAGCATAGTACAATATCAGTATTATATATTATTATATTATACTATACCATTATATTGTGATATTATTAGCAATATTACATGTAATATAAAATATAATATTGTATTATTATTATTAGTATTATATTGCAATACATTATATTATAAATATTATATGTATATACAATATATTATATTATTAGCATAGTACAATATCAGTATTATATATTACTATATTGTACTATACCATTATATTGTAATATTATTAGTAATATTACATGTAATATAAAATATAATATTGTATTATGATTAGTATTATTTTGTATTACATTATGATATTATAAATAATATATATATATATATATATATATATATATATATATATATATATATACACACACACACACACACACAATATATTATATTATTAGTGTTGGGGTTCAGCCTGTGTGTGAACCTGATTCTCTGATTGTATTCCCGGATGCCAATGTAGATGTCAATGTGAATTCTGAGGCCAATTTAGATGACGATGGTTTGAGTCGTGAAAATCCTACAGCCTTGGAAAGTGAAAGTCAAAATTCCCATGGGAACATGCATTCCGAGCCGAGTGGAGAAGTTTCACTCCCTTTTCCTCCCAGCCTTAGTTCTCCGGAGAATCTGACACCTGGCCTGCCTAATGAGGATAGGCAGGGGCAGATTTGTCAGAGCCGGGGAGAAACACAACGTTTCCGTAGGTCAGCGAGATTGGGATAAATGCAAACAAAAACTTCAGGTGTGTCTCGCCATAGATTTCTTGGCCTTAAGTATGCCTGGCCTGAATGCAGCTTCAGACCAGGCATCGTTCCAGATTCATACGCAAGCTTTTGCAGGTCTCCTGATTCAAGTGGCCTTGTTCCTCGGAGGTTTTCTAGTTGTTCCAAGTACGGTTAGTGGATTGCTAACAGGTTCCAGGATTCAGCAGTTTTGCTGTGGGTTTTATGATCTTGTTTATGGACATTTCATGTTGCTGATTTTTACTGTGACTTTTTACCTTTGCATTTTTCCGCTATTTTGTATTCATCTTTCATCAATAAAAAAGGATTGTTTTCCTGAAGTCAAGTGTGGTGGATGGTTGTCTGAGGGTCCAGTTTCATGCTCTGGGTTGCAACATTTAGCATAGTACAATATCAGTATTATATATTACTATATTGTACTATACCATTATATTGTAATATTATTAGTAATATTACATCTAATATAAAATATAATATTGTATTATTAGTATTAGTATTATATTGTATTACATTATAATATTATAGATATTATATTATATTTCTTTCACCTTTACAGCCAACGTATCTCTTATGCTGAAGCAAACTGTCTACGTGTATGTTCCTTTTTGCTTAAGTGTGCATTTTGCTTCAGCGAAATGACTGCGAGGAGCATTTAGGAAGCACTGGAAAAATCTCAACATAATTTTCAGCAGCTGTCTTGCCACCTGAAATTTAGTTTCGCTGCACATACGGATGGATCGCAATTATGCTGCAGTTGCAACTCATGCGGAGGGGATCTAAAAGTCTCTTTTTAAAAATGCTGAGACCATCAACGTCCAAAATATCTTTTAAAAAATTAAAAGAGACTCCTGTTCAGGGGAGAAACAAACTCGGCTGTTGAAAAATTCAGATGCATCTTAACAGAGAAAAAACCAATGTATTGTCGAAGACTTTCATGGCCAGAATCACTGGGTTGTTGTAGTTTTTTGGGGGGCTATATGGCCATGTTCTAGAGGCATTCTCTCCTGACATTTCACCTGCATCTATGGCAAGCATCCTCAGAGGTAGTGAGATCTGTTGGAACTAGGAAAAAGGGTTTATATATCTGTGGAATGACCAGGGTGGGGCAAAGGACTCTTGTCTGTTGGACCTAGGTGTGAATGTTTCAACCGACCACCTTGATTAGCATATAATGGTCTGACAGTTGTTTGGTGTGGCCTGATAGTGCCTGGGGCAATCTTTTGTTGAGAGGTGATTAGATGTTCCTGATTGTTTCCTCTCTGTTGTTTTGCTGTTGTAATTTTAGAGTTTTTTTTAAATACTGGTAGCCAGATTTTGTTCATTTTCATGGTTTCCTCCTTTCTGTTGAAATTGTCCACTGTGGGCAAAATGTCAGGAGAGAGTGCTTCTAGAACATGGCCATAGAGCCCGGAAAACTCACAGAAAATCAGTGATTATGGCCATGAATGCCTTCAAACACACATTATTCCTTTTGTTGGGACTTAGAAGTGACAATTGCATCATTGCATCATTGTGTGTGGTTAATGTTATTGCTTTGTTTATGAGTTATTTTGTTGTTGTTGTTGTTGTTGCTGTTGTTTTTATTATTGTATTTGGGCTCGGCCTCTTGTAAGCTGCACCGAGTCCTTCAGGAGATGGTAGCGGGGTACAAATAAAGATTTATTATTATTATTATTATTATTATTATTATTATTATTATTATTACTATTGAGTCAGGAGAGAAAGTTTAGACTCAATCCTTTTCTATCAGGAAACTTAGTTCTTATGTTTTGATAAATCTTGCAAAACTTTTTGAGATGATCTAACTTGAGGTCATTCTTACTTTTGAGCTCCTTGAAGCAAAGCTATTTCATCCGGCGAAGCTGCAACATATTTGCATGACACATCTGATTTCCTGGAGTCAACTTTGTCGCTTTCCTGGACCTGAACGGTGTGGCAGAGGCACAAAGCACGCATGAACCACTGCTCTTGGCTCTGGGGAGAGAATGGGAAACACAGTGACTTCAGCAAAGAGCACTTGAGGTTCTTGCACAGCAGATACCGAAACGTCCCCCAACAATTCCCACGGATAATCATTTCCAGGGGGATGAGAAGTGTGTGTGGCCATTTGAGAAGATGTTGAAAACTTCTTAATTCAAAGGAACAACTGCTTAGCCATACAAGGGTAGAGCCACCTTTCTTTGGAAAGCAAACTTTCTAACTTGGGGGCCGAATGCTAGCACTCCCTGCTAAGAGGACTGGCTGCCCGGTGATGGATGGATGGTGTTGGGGTTCAGCCTGGGTGTGAACCTGAACCTGATCCTCTGATTGTATTTCCTGATGCTACTGAAAATGTATTTTCTGATGCTAATGAAAATGTTGATTCTGAGGTCAGTGTAGAAGAAACTCCTGCAGGCTTGGAAGACTTGGAAAATGAAAGTACACATTCTCATGAGAATGTTTCAGAGCCAAGCGGTGATAGCTCTCCAGAGAAGCTAACACCTGGGATCCTTAATGAGGATAGAAGAGGACAGATTTGGAAAAACAGGAGTGAATTGCAGAGTCTGCGAAGGTCAAGCAGATTAAAAGAAAAAGAAACAAGGGCTTCAAAGCCTGGAGGCGTGTCACGAAACAGTTTCCTCGGCTTTAAGTGCCTCCCGGAAGCAAAGACAAAAGGGAGGGAGGGAAGGAAGGAGAAAAAAAGAGAGAGGGAAGGAGAAAGAGGGAAGGAAGGAAGGGTGAAAGGGAGAGAGAAGGATGGAAGGAGAAAGAGGGAGGAAGGAGGAAGAAGGGAAAGAGAGGAAGGAAAGAAAAGGGAAGGAGGGAAGGAGGAAAAGAGGAAAGGGAAGGAGAAGAAAAGAGAGAAAGGAAGAAGGAAGGATGGAAAGGAGGAGGAAGAAAGGGAGGAAAGGAGGAAGGGAGGGAAGGAAGGAGGAAAGAAAGAAGAAAGGAAGGAAGAGAAGGATGGAAGGAAGAGGGAAAGACAAAAGGGAAGGAATGAGAGGGGGGAAGGGAATGGAGGGAGGGAGAAAGAGGGAAGGATAAAGGAAAGAGAGAAGAAAGGAAAGACAAAAGGGAAGGAAGGAAGGAAGGAAGGAAGGAAGGAAGGAAGGAAGGAAGGAGAAAGAGGGAAGTACGGAAAGGGAAGGACAAAAGGGTGGAAAGGAGGAAGAAAGAGGGAGGGAAGGAGGAAGGAAAGAGAGAAAGAAGGAAAGAAGGAAGGGAGGAAGAAGAAAGAGGGAAGAGAGGAAGGAAGGATAGGATGGCGAGAGAGGGGAGGGCCCTGAGAAAAGATCCCAAGGCATCCATTCACATTGTTGAATAAGGGAACGAAAGGAGACCCAAACAGAAAGAAAAGAGGAGCATTTCTCCCTCTCTCCCTCCGGTCATAGATTTGGGAACTTTTCCTCCCGGACAGACATGATGATAACAGAAAGTACAAATGTGAATTGTAACTAATAATTAAAGAAAAGTTCTCGAATTAAGGATAAATGCGACTTACACTTAAAGAAGTAATTATGCAAGTGAGTAAAAAAAAAAAAACAAAAAGTTGGTTGGGGAAATGTTGTAGGCTAAAGATGAGTGGGGAAAGACACAAGGGAGGAATAAATAGATGTCATAAAATAACAAAATGAAGGAAAGTATTGCTAAAACAAGGTGAGATGTTGAGGAAAAGCAAAGTGTGGAAGGAATACAACATGGATTTACGTTCATGTAGGGAGGGATTAAATAGTGATATAATTGAATGTCAAAGTACTTATTGTATAAATTAAGAAGGAAAGACAAAAGGGAATGGAGGGAGGGAGGGAGGAAAGGAGAAAGAGGGAAGGAAAGAAGGAAGACTTGGAAGGGAGGGAGGGAGGGAGGGAAGGAGGGAAGGAAGGAAGGAAGGACGGAAGAAGGAAGTCATGCTCCCCCTCTATTCTGCCTTGGTCAGACCACACCTAGAATCACACTGTGTCCAATTCTGAGCACCGCAATTGAAGAGAGATTGAAAGGAGATGTTGACAAGCTGGAATGTGCCCAGAGCAATATAACAAATGATCAAGGGTCTGGAGAACAAGCCCTATGAGGAGCGGCTTAAAGAGCTGGGCATGTTTAGTCTGAAGAAGAGAAGGCTGAGGGGAGATTTATTTATTTATTTATGGCATTTATATCCTGAAGTGGACTCGGAGCGGCTTAGAAGTTGCATGTACATAAAATATATATTATTATTAGAACAGCACAATATTAGTATTTTATATTACTATATTGTACTATACCGCAATATTATTAGGAATATTACATGTAATATAGAATTATATTGTATTATTATTAGGATTATATTGTATTACATTATAATATTATTATCAATTTGATATGTATATTAGGCTTGGTTGATCAAGAAAAAAATGGTTCTAAACTCGTTTTGTATATAGGGGGCGCTGGCGGTTCGATTTTGAAATTATTTCCGAAATTTTCTTTAAAAAAAGATCGGAAATACCAGGAAATACGAATCGCTTCCTTTGTTTCGTTAATGGAAGGTGCCCTTCCCTCCCTCCAGGGATAGCCAATACTCCAGAGAACAGGAGCAGGATTCAAAACGATCTTGACAGATTAGAGAGATGGGCCAAAACTAACAAAATGAAGTTCAACAGGGACAAATGCAAGATACTCCACTTTGGCAGGAAAAACGAAATGCAAAGATACAGAATGGGGGACAATGCCTGGCTTGAGAGCAGGACGTGTGAAAAAGATCTTGGAGTCCTCGTGGACAACAAGTTAAACATGAGCCAACAATGTGATGTGGTGGCAAAAAAAGCCAATGGGATTTTGGCCTGCATCAATAGGAGCATAGTGTCTAGATCTAGGGAAGTCATGCTCCCCATGCTCTATTCTGTTTTGGTTAGACCACACCTGGAATATTGTGTCCAATTCTGGGCACCACAATTCAAGAGAGATATTGACAAGCTGGAATGTGTCCAGAGGAGGCGACTCAAATGATCAAGGGTCTGGAGAACAAGCCCTATGAGGAGCGGCTTAAGGAGCTGGGCATGTTTAGCCTGAAGAAGAGAAGGCTGAGAGGGAGATATGATAGCCATGTATAAATATGTGAGAGGAAGCCACAGGGAGGAGGGAGCAAGCTTGTTTTCTGCTTCTGTGGAGACTAGGACGCAATGATGGCTTCAAACTACAGGAAAGAAAGGAGATTCCACCTGAACATGAGGAAGAACTTCCTGACTGTGAGAGCCGTTCAGCAGTGGAACTCTCTGCCCCGGAGTCAGGTGGCGGCTCCTTCTTTGGAATCTTTTAAAGAGAGGCTGGATGGCCATCTGTCAGGGGTGATTTGAATGCAATATTCCTGCTTCTTGGCAGAAATGGGTTGGACTGGATGGCCCATGAGGTCTCTTCCAACTCTTTGAGTCTATGATTCTATGATCCAGAACCATTAAAATCTCTCAGTTTCCCTTCCTTCCCTTGCGGCGAGCTTCCATGCAGAAGGGAGAGGTGGGCGTGTTTATGTGTGTGTATATATTTGTGTATATATGTGTATTTGTATATATATGTGTGTTTGTGTATGTGTGTATATTAGGCTTGGTTGATCCAGCTCGTTAATTTCTAATATCGTTATGGAATCGTAAATAAAATACCTTTAGAAGCATCGGCGGCTTTGCGAGGTGGGCTTTGCGAGGTGAGCGTGGCTACGCCCAGCTCTTCCGCATCGCCACTTGTCGCCAGGGAGGTAGCCACACCCACCTCGCAAAGCCGCCGATGCAAAGAGGAAGAGATGGGCGTGGGTAAGAACAGTTGTTCCTGAAGGCCACGCCCCCAGCATTTACGATTCACTGCCGGAAGTCGTAAGGAAGATGGTGGACGCCGCTTCGATATGGCAAAAACACTTCCGGGTTGCCAAAACGCGTCGATATCGCTTCTAAAGGTATTTTATTTATGATTTCTTAACGAGATTAGAAATTAACGAGCTGGACCTCCCCCTCTATTCTGCCTTGGGTAGACCACATCTGGAATATTGTGTCCAATTCTGGGCACCACAATTGAAGAGAGATATGGACAAGCTGGATCAACCAAGCCTAATGTATATACAATATATTATATTACATGATAAGGGCCAGGTATCAATATGTGAGGGGAAGTCATAGGGAGGAGGGAGCAGGCTTGTTTTCTGCTGCGCTGGAGACTAGGACGCAATGGAACAATGGCACATGAGGAAGAACTTCTTAACTGTGAGAGCTGTTCAGCAGTGGAACTCTCTGCCCTGGAGTGTGGTGAATACTTTTAAACAGAGGCTGGATGGCCATCTGTCGGTAGTGTTTTCAATGCAATTTTCCTGCTTCTTGGTAGAATGGGGTTGGATGGGATGGCCCACGAGATCGCTCCCAACTCTATGATTCTATGACCCAAGTACCCAAATCAGATTATAAGACATGGGATAGGATGGATTCTGGGAGTGGCAGTCCAAAATGAAGAACCTTCAAGCACCAAAGAACAGCAATAGTAAATGTTACCAGCGCTGCTTTCTCCGAAGCCTTTCCTCCGTCAACCTCCGAGAAGGCATGGCTGTACTTGAAGCCATCAATGCTGCATTCAATGAACTCCATGGTGTTTTCTGTTAACGTCCCCGTTTTATCAGAGAAGACATATTCAACCTAGAAGAAAACGAGGGGCAGAATTAGACATTCCTCTTTTGGGGTGAGGGCATTCGAGTGTTTCCTCCCACTTCCTGAGAAAAATGTATAATATCACAAAAGATTACCACCTCACCCGCCTCATAGGAAACCTGCTACAAAACAGGAGCTTTTTTGTTGAGTTCCAGGGCCAGAGAAGCAGATGCGAAAACAGAAGAACGGCCTGCCTCAGGGGAGCGTGCTCACTCCATCCATGTTCAACATTTACACAAATGACCAGCCACTGCCAGAAGGGACAGAGAGTTTCATCTATGCTGATGATCGTGCCATTAATGTCCAAGCAAGGAGCTTTGAGATGGTTGAACAGAAGCTTTCAGAATCTCTAGGTGCTCTTACTGCCTATTACAGGGAAAACCAGCTGATCCCCAACCCATCTAAAACACAGACATGTGCCTTTCATCTCAAGAACAGAGAAGCATCCCGAGCTCTGAGGATGACCTGGGAAGGAATCCCACTGGAGCATTGCAGCACACCCAAATACCTGGGAGTCACTCTGGACCATGCTCTTTACCTACAAGAAGCACTGCCTGAACATCAAGAAAAAAGTGGGTGCTAGAAACAATATCATACGAAAGCTGACTGGCACAACCTGGGGATCACAACCAGACACAGTGAAGACATCTGCCCTGTTACTCTGCTGCTGAGTACGCATGCCCAGTGTAGAACACATCTCACCACACAAAAACGGTGGATGTGGCTCTTAATGAGACATGCCGCATTATCACGGGGTGTCTGCGCCCTACACCACTGGAGAAATTACACTGCTTAGCCGGTATTGCACCACCTGACATCCGCCGCGAAGGAGCAGCCAATAGTGAAAGGACCAAGGCAGAGACATCTCCAGCTCATCCCTTTGTTTGGGCATCAGCCAGCATGTCAACGACTTAAATCAAGACATAGTTTTCTTAGATCTACAGAGACACTCGCTGGAACACCTCAGCAAGAGAGAGTCCAAAAGTGGCAGGCTCAAATGGAAAACTGGGCAACTTGGAAGGCACTGAACAGACTGCGCTCTGGCACCACAAAATGCAGAGCCAACCTCAAGAAATGGGGCTACAAAGTGGAATCCACAACATGCGAGTGTGGAGAGGAGCAAACCACTGACCACCTGCTGCAATGCAACCTGAGCCCTGTCACATGCACAATGGAGTACCTCCTTGCGGCAACACCAGGGGCCCTCCAAGTGGCCAGATACATCCACTGTTTTAGCATGGTGAGATGTGTTCCACACTGGGCATGCATACTCAGCAGGAGAGCAGCATAGCGCAAGGGCAGATGTCTTCACTGTGTCTGGTTGTGATCCCCAGGTTGATGTTCAGGTAGTGCTTCTTGTAGGTCAGAGCATGATCTATACTAAACTAAATAAACTGTACCTCATTGAGGACTTGAGACTTGGGTGGTATGGGGTTGAATTCCAAAAATATGCCATCCTTTGAAGAAACCCATTGCTACGTCCTGTTGTGTTCAATCCGCACTGCTTCTCAGCTTCGAATTTGGCTAAGAGAAGCAGTCACTAACCCTTGGATGGGCAAAAATGACAGAAAGTATTCAAAGCAGGTGTGTATTTGCAAGCAAATTTGAATGTGCTGTTTTGTTGGCTTTCTTAGCCTTCTAGGGCAGCCATCACACACATACACAGTGGTTAAAAGGGGAATTAAAGAAGGCCAACCGAGGAGGCTGGCTGATGCGCTCAGCGTGGATGCTCCGCCTGACATTTCCTCCCCACGCATGGTAACAAGCATGCAAATCCTGCTTTAGTGAAGGCTAATTATAGCATCAAGCACTCAGGGGCCCAGAGGATCAATCTTTAGTGCCTATACATATTTAAAGAGGGTTCTTTTTATATATAAAAAATCCTGTGTTGAAAGGAACACTAGAACCTGGAAGTGTCAGGTTTCACTAAGGCCGGGCGATCAACTCCTGAACCTCTTTGCCTAATGTTTCCTTTGAGCTGCCACATCGGAAGGAATGCAGCCGGCTTGCTCCCTTTGTGACTTAGTTCAGTAGCATTGTTCACATTACAGAGTCCAAGCGAGAAGGGGATGGCAAGCTGTTTAACCTCAGCAGACTGAAAGCCAAAACCAAGATTACAACAACATCTGTTATAGAATTCCAGTATGCTGATGACGACGTCGTCTGTGCGCATTCAGAAGAAGATCTACAAGCCACTCTAAACACCTTCACAGAAGCATACGAGAAGCTCGGCCTGTCATTGAACATCGAGAAAACCAAAATGGTCCTCCAGCAGTCACCAGCTAACCCCTCTCCAATGCTGGAGATACAGCTTAATGGTGTAACATTAGAAAATGTTGACCATTTCCACTACCTTGGCAGCCACCTCTCCACCAAAGCCAACATTGACACTGAAATACAACACCACCTGAGCTCTGCGAGTGCAGCTTTTTTCTGAATGAAGCAGAGAGTGTTTGAGGACCAGGACATCCGTAGGGATACCAAGGTGCTTGTCTATAAAGCTATTGTCCTCCCAACCCTGCTATACGCCTAGGAAATGTGGACTATCTACAGACGTCCACCAAAGTCAACATTGATACCAAAATACAACACCACCTGAGCTCTGCGAGTGCAGCATTTTTCTGAATGAAGCAGAGAATGTTTGAGGACCGGGACATCCGTAGGGATACCAAGGTGCTTGTTTATAAAGCTACTGTCCTCCCAACCCTGCTATACGCCTACGAAATGTGGACTGTCTACAGACGTCAACACTGAGACTGAAATACGACACCGCTTGAGCTCTGCGAGTGCAGCATTATTCTGAATGAAGCAGAGAGTGTTTGAGGACCGGGACATCTGTAGGGAGTCCAAACTGCTTGTTTATAAAGCGATTCTCCTCTCAACCCTGTTATACACCTGCGAAACATGGACTGTCTACAGACATCAACACTGAGACTGAAATACGACACCGCTTGAGCTCTGCGAGTGCAGCATTTTTCCGAATGAAGGGATACCAAGCTGCTTGTCTATAAAGCTATTGTCCTCCCAACCCTGCTATATGCCTGCGAAACGTGGACTGTCTACAGACGTCACATGCAACTCCTGGAACAATTCCATCAGCGCTGCCTCCGGAAAATCCTGCAAATCTCTTGGGAAGACAGGGGGACAAACGTCAGCGTGCTGGAAGAAGCAAAGACCACCAGCATTGAAGCAATGGTCCTCCGCCATCACCTCTGCTGGACCGGCCACGTTGTCCGGATGCCCGACCACCGTCTCCCAAAGCAGTTGCTCTACTCCGAACTCAAGAACGGAAAACGGAATGTTGGTGTACAGGAAAAGAGATTGAAAGATGGGCTCAAAGCCAACCTTAAAAACTCTGGCATAGACACTGAGAACTAGGAAACCCTGGCCCTTGAGCGCTCCAGCTGGAGGTCAGCTGTGACCAGCAGTGCTGTAGAATTTGAAGAGGCACGAATGGAGGGTGAAAGAGAGAAACGTGCCAAGAGGAAGGCGCGTCAAGCCAACCCCGACCGGGACCGCCTTCCACCTGGAAACCGATGCCCTCACTGTGGGAGAAGATGCAAATCAAGAATAGGGCTCCACAGTCACCTACGGACCCACCCCCAGAACACTGAACTTGGAGGACCATCATCCTCGGACTACAAGGGATCGCCTAAGTAAGTAAGTAAGTAAGTAAGTAAGTAAGTAACTATAGATGGGGCAACATCTATACGGTCACTCTCCAAAGATATCATCCTGCATATTGGATATTTACATTACAACTAGCGGTCCCCTGCCACGCGTTGCTGTGGCCAGTCTGGTGATCTGGAAAATAAAGTAATGAGAAAGTGTTGGTTTCTACTATATGTAATTCCTTTATGCTTGTAGTAAACAGTATTTCTTGTTGTTTCTTTGTCAGTGTTGATGTGGAGAGTGTCTGGTTTGCCTACTCTGGAAAATGTCATTGTCCTTCTTTAGGGTCCCTTTCAAATCTATGATACTATATCTGTGTGTGTGAATCATATCCATCTAGTATCTATGGCTGGATGGCTCTTTGTCAGGAGGCTTTGATTACGTTTTCTTGCCCTGGTGAAGGGAGTTGGACTGGATGGCCTTAAGTATTTTCTGTGGGTCATGGGGGTTCTGTGTGGGAAGTTTGCCCCAATTCTGCCGTTTGTGGGGTTCAGAATGCTCTTTGATTGTAGGTGACCTATAAATCCCAGTAACTACAACTTCCAAATGTCAAGGTCTATTTTCCCCAAACTCCACCTGTGTTCATATTTGGACATATGGAATATTCGTGGCAAGTTTGGTCCAGATCCATCATTGTTTGAGTCCACAGTGTGCTCTGGATGTAGGTTAACTATGTGAAGATCCCTTACCTTACCAGCCTGGGTGGCAGGGCCTAGGAGAGGCAGGCCAGTTAGTTACAGCTTAGAAGGCCTGGCAGAGGGCAGCAGGAGCCATTTTAGTTTAGGGAAAGCTCCATTTCAGAGAGGGGGAGTGGCCTAGGCCTGAGCCAGCCTTAGAGCAGCCAGGATTGGTTTATTAAAGGGGGGCGGAGTTAGACTGTTTGGAGGGAAAGAAAGAAGCTTTTTCAGGGAGTCAGTCTGTTGATGTTAGAGTTAGAGCAGGGTTACAGAAGCTTTTAGGAGTTCGTGTTAAGAATAGGCAGTTTGCCTGAAGTTTGCCAGCGAATTAAGCTGTGGCAAACTGGGTACAGCTATTTAGGGGAAAAATAGCTGGGTTTTATATTTGTAACAAAGAAAGAACCATTCTCATGCAACCGTTACGCTTTCAAGAACCAGAACATTTTATCTGTAACAGCCAAGCCTATTAAACAGCATTTACACTTTCTTCTGTACTATATTAAATAAACTTTCCTTGTTTTTTTGAAACTTAAGCCTGAGTCAAGTGTACATTTGTGGATTTAGTCCCTTTTCCTTTTAAATCAACCTCACCTGTTTTCCTTCAAAGAAGCCATTTAAAAGACACAGTACTTGGTGGTCTAAAAAGCCTTTTAATAGTTTTAATAGCTAGAGTGTTCCTGTTCATTTAGTTTATGGTGGCAGCGAAAGTTTAACTAGAGAGACATCCCCTCAAACGTTCTATTGGTGCCAAAGTGGTGTAAATTCTTTAATAAAGGAGGGACAGTTGGTGGGATCTGTTTGCCCCCTGTCCAGTTATATTGTTTGGCCACACGACACGTCTTTATAAACTACAACTCCCAAACTCAAGGTCAATGCTCTCCAAACCCTTCTAGTGTTTTTTGTTCGTCATGGGAGTCCTGTTATACCACGTTTGGTTCAATTCCATTGTTGGTGGGGTTCAGAATGCTCTTTGATTGTAGGTGACCTATAAATCCCAGTAACTACAACTTCCAAATGTCAAGGTCTATTTTCCCCAAACTCCATCTGTGTTCATATTTGGGCATATGGAATATTTGTACCAAGTTTGGTCCAGATCCATCATTGTTTGAGTCCACAGTGCTCTCTGGATGTAGGTGAACTACAACTCCCAAACTCAAGGTCAATGCTCTCCAAACCCTTCTAGTGTTTTTTGTTCGTCATGGGAGTCCTGTTAAGTCCTGTTATACCACGTTTGGTTCAATTCCATTGTTGGTGGGGTTCAGAATGCTCTTTGATTGTAGGTGACCTATAAATCCCAGTAACTACAACTTCCAAATGTCAAGGTCTATTTTCCCCAAACTCCACCTGTGTTCATATTTGGACATATGGAATATTCGTGGCAAGTTTGGTCCAGATCCATAATTGTTTGAGTCCACAGTGCGCTCTGGATGTAGGTGAACTACAACTCCCAAACTCAAGGTCAATGCTCTCCAAACCCTTCTAGTGTTTTTTGTTCGTCATGGGAGTCCTGTTATACCACGTTTGGTTCAATTCCATTGTTGGTGGGGTTCAGAATGCTCTTTGATTGTAGCAACTACAACTCCCAAATGACAAAACCAAAAAAATTTTGAGTGAAGGACATACATTGGGTTGTTAGGTGTATGCTTTCCAAATTTGGTGTCAATTGGCCCACTTGTTTTTGAGTTCTGTGAATACCACAAACAAACATTACGTTTTTATTTATATAGATAATAGATGGCAAGTCTAAGGTCAGCTTAGGACTAAAATAATAATAACTGGATAAGGCTGTTACCTGCTACAGAATGGAGGTCCTGAAAAGGGAAAGATTTCCTACCTGGCCAAGCTCTTCGTTGAGGTCGGAGGTATTCACTAAGGCCCCTTCATCTCGGGATTCGTCATACATTTCTTTGTCCCACCCAATGAAAAAGGAGCCCAGGAACTTCTGCATCTCGACTGTCACGTACATGGAGACGGGGATGATGAAATTGAACAGCACCATGAAGGACAGGAAATCAGTGAACATCTTTAAGAGCTTGAAAGTTTCTTTGTCCTTCTGGGTCTTCTGGTTGTACCAAGGCTCATCGTTATGAGGAACACTTTGCCAGGTGTACTTGAGCGCGGTGCATATTATCGCCTTGCCCACCAAGATGCACAAGTAGACGATCAAGAAAGCATTGATCGACCTGGGGAAAGAAAGCGTTCAAAAGCAGGAGCAAGAATGACAGCTGTTCCTTGTGTTGTGCGAGTCAGGACAAAATGTTGCACTGATCGGAGACACAAGAAGATAGGTTTAAAGGAGGAATGGGCAACCATGGGAAGCGAAGGAGACTTTGAAGGGCCATGTACCTAATCCTGCAACTCCCCTTGCAGATATGGTTGGCATTCAGGGAACATTGAAGCATTCTCACCATGTTTTGGAATCTTCCTGGCCCCCTAAAGTAAAGGTTTCCCCTTGATCATA